GATCCGCCATCTTGTTTGTTCTCCAAGATAATGATCTTTTAAAGAAGGCGTTGCTGTAAAGAATATTGTAGCTCAGTGATAGCCTCCTCCCTAGCCAGTCATGCCATCACACTGCCCGATTTTATTTTCTCTATATTACACACCCTTAACTGAAGTGACTCACTTTCCTGTTTATCAGGTTAGATTAGTAATCCACTTCATGGGATGTTGCTTTATCCCCAGCATCTAATCAGTTATTTCTGATAATAACTGATAAAAATTAATTGGAAACTTCATTTACTATTTTCTTATTAAGTATTTTTATATTATTATTTATACTATTCATATATTATTCAGTATGAAGAAAATAGCAGTTACTCAAAACTGAGATAGTGTTGGTTTTAAAGAAAGCTGCTTTCTCAAGCGTAAGTTCTAGAGCTGTGTTTGATAATGCATTCATTCATTCATGTTATCTTGTGTAAAAATGATTGAAAACCTAATTTCTTTGAAAAATTTAACAGGTTCTTCCAGCACCCAAGTTGAAGATGACTAACAATCATATTTATAACAACAATGGCTATGGAGTAAGCATTCTTCAACCAACTGAGCAGTTTTTCATCATAGCAGAAGAAGCTCTTAACAAAGGAGCTGCCTCAGGAGACAAAAAGGATGATAATATGCTTTCCAAAGTAATGCAAAACCTGAATCTGGAAATGAATAACAACAAGATAGAAGCAAACTTAAAAGGGGATATCAGGATAGTCACAAGTTAAAGCATCGGGATTCATGTTAAAGTTTTAAATTTCAGATATCTGTTAAATAAATAATTCTCATATCCCACAAAAATGGTGGGTTTAAATTCAAAGCTTATTAAAAAACGTTTCAATGTTTTAGTACTCTTTCATTGCATAAATCATTTTTTAACATGTTCTTTTAAATAACATTTTACTGAGATGTAATTCACATACCACAAAATTCACTCTTTTAAAAGGGTAAAATTAAGTGACATTGAGTAAAATTTTAGTATATGGTACAACCATCACCAATATCAAATTCCATGAATCTGAACCAATTTGATGGCAATAAACTTAATTTGGTTTTAGTCCAGTAAAAGGAGCCCCTGGATGGTGTACATGATTAATTAATGCATTCAGCTATTAACCCAAAGGTTGGACATTCTTTAGAGGTACCTCAGAAGAAAGAGCTGGTGATCTGTGGTAAAATCAATCCTATGGAGTCAGATTCTACTTTGACACACATGGGGTTGCCATGAGTTGGAATTGACTCCACAGCAACTTTGCATGTGTGTGTCCAATAGAAAATATTAGATGCTCTGTGTAAAAGGCAAATCAAATTAATTTATAGCCAATTCTTGTTCATTTCCAGGTACTTGTGCTAGTAACCAGAATAGGGTAATATAGGATTAGGTTCAACAGGAAATCCAAAATAAGATGAGTTAAGAATACAAAAAGTCATTTCTCCTGCATATTCAAGAATTCTGAAAGTATTCAATACAGGACTGGATTTGTTGTTAAGTACTAATGACTTGTAGTGACCCTGAATAAGGTTTCCAAGGAGCAGCTGGTAGACTTGAACCACCAACCTTGCAGTTCAAACCAACCTTGTGGTCCAGTGCTTATCCCATAGTGCCACATCAAGCTTCTTTGATGTTTTACTGTTGAATAGTGTCTTCCTAAAATCAACTCATGGTGTAGATAGAGTGGTTGTTGCTTAAGCCAAGCAATTCCAAGCAAACAGATAATACTGAATTTTAGCTAATCTCATGGTCAGGAGTTCGAAACTACAAGCAGTTCCGCAGGAGAAAGAGGAGGCTTTCTTCTCCCATAAAGATTTACAGTCTCAGAAACCCTCTACAGGGTTGCTATGAGTCGGAACCACCACTACCATAGCAACCCTACATCGCGTTCTCAAAGAGTAGCTGGTGGGTTTGAACTGCTGCCCTCTTGGTTTGAAGTCTGGAGCTGATCCTACAATGCTACGAATCTACGAATAAGACTAGGAAGTAGAATCTTGAATTGAATGGCCATGTGTCCTCTAACACGGGATTTATTCTCTAAGTCAGAAGGTAAGCATAATTATTGGGAGTTAACTAATGATCTTTCTCATAAGGCAAATCTTATGTTGACTTTGGAATCCTGGTGTTGTGCTGTAAGATAAGAACCCAATCACAAGGCCGGTTTGAACTTCCCAACAACAACATATTGACAGGATATAAAAGAAATGAGCTATCAGGCTCATATACTTAAACCTTCCCCATTTTGACTTTCACTTCTTTGTATTATCTGTAACCTAAGCAAAGGTGATTTTTTTCCATAGAGAATCTGGTGTGGTGCTGTGGGTTAATGATTCAGACTACAAAGCCATTTGAACTGCAAGGTCAATGGTTCAAGCTCACCAGCTACTCCTTGGAAACCCTATACAGGGTTGCTATGGGTCAGAATTGACTTGACGGCACTTAACAAGCAAAGGTGATTTGTTTCCATAGAGAATCTATTTAGGCTGAAAGTTAATATATTTTGTAAAAGTATTAATGTTCTTCATTGTTTCATTGAGTAGCTTTAAAAAATATTCTTTTTTAAAGAAGTAAAATCTAATAAGTAATTACATAGGTTTTGCTCACACAGGTCTTGATAGCATCATGAAATAAAAGATACTGTCCCATGAGAGCCTTAACAGGAACAATCTTACTGCAGTGAATTTAATGAGCTGTATTGGAAACCCTGTACAGGGTCGCTATGGGTCAGAACCGACTCGACGGCACTTAACAACAACATTGCTGTTAGGTACCGTAGAGTTATTGTCAACCCATAGAGACCCTGTGTCGAGTTTCCAAGGAGCAACTGGTGAATTTGAATCACTGACCTTGCAGTTTAAACTGACCTTTTGGTCCAGTGCTTATCCTACAGCACTACACCAGGACTCTACAGCAGGACTCTTAATAAGCTGTTCTTGTTAATTGCTGTCGAATTGGTTCCGACCTGTAGTGACCCTGTATAGAGTTTCTGAGGAACAGCTGGCGAGCTTGAACTGCCTAGGAGTGAGGATTTTCCCTTCCCTCTTCCTATGCCTTGTTTTGGCTTCAAGAAGAGGTGATGGGCAAAAATAGGCTGTTTGAGGTGAGCAGGAAGAGCAAGAGCTTTGAGTAGGCAAATGTCTCATTAATTGGTCATTTTTCTTTGCTTGATGTCATTGAGTCCAACCAATTTCCTTTCCTAGCCGCAGTTCTGAATACTGATAATTTTCCCCAACTTTCATATCCCTGAAGTATACCTGCCCAAAGCACTTTTAAGATTTTTAAAGAATTTTTAACTTTCATTGTTGTCTGTCCCTCCTCTACTTCCCCACCCCCACAGCAAGTCTGACTGTACAAGGCTCAGTGGTTAAAGCACTCAGCTGAGTGAAAGATTGGCAGTTTGAACCCATTAGCTGCTGCTCTATGGGAAAAAGATGTGACAGTCCGCGTCCATAGACTTACAGTCCTGTTAACCCTATTAGGCAGTTCTACTCTGTCTCACAGGTTTGCTGTGACTCAGAATTGACAGCAATGAGTTAGGGTGTTTTGGTTTTTCTCCACTTGTCTGGTAGTCTGTCATACTGTGGTGGCTTGCATGTTGCCATGATGCTGGAAGATATGCCACCAGTATTTCAAATACCATCAGGGAGGAAAGCCCATCCTGTTGATCAACTTCTGAAAAATCGGCCAATTGCTTTGGACACATCCTGGCAGGGAACGATTGGTAGAGGGCCAATCAGGGTGTGGGAGACCCTTGGTGAGATGGAGGGCACAGTAGCTGTAACAATAGGCTTAAGCATGCTGGTGACCATGAGGATGATGCAGGGCCTGGCCCCATTTCTTTGTGTTGGGTCGCTTTGAGTTGGAGTCAGCTTGAAGGCAAGCTGTCAGGCTGTGTTCTGGGGAAAAGCGAAAGCAGTGGGGGAAATATCTATGTATATACTTCACTCAAGGAAATAGCTCAAGCAGCTGTGGAGGCTGGCAAGTACCAAATCTGTGGGTCAGACATCAGGCATGGTTGCAAGGGCTGATGAATTTGCAGGTTAGTTGGCAGGCTGCTGGCACATATCCCAAGATGATGATGAGTTGGACACAGAATTCCAAGTGAGACTGAAGCTTACTGGAACAACCATTTATATACAGAAGGCAGGACACGCACCCACGGAAACTGCACTTTTAAGTGATTGGCCATAACAGATCTTATCATGGAGGTGGTAATACACCAGGTCTCATCAGAGGGGAGTCCACTACCTGCTAAACCACTGATAACCATCGCCAGGCTCATACAGAACATTAACCATCATAATATCTTACAGTTTTTCCCCTACTGCCATAAAAACCTACCGCCAATACAGTTCTAGAGGTTACGTCTAACAAGGGCCTCGTCTGGTAAAAGTCAAGGTGTTGCTGATAGGAATTCATTTCCATGTGCATTCAGATTGGTAGTAATTCATTTTCTTGTAGCTGTAGAGCTGAAATTGACATTTGTTGATCACCTCAGGGTGGTCCCGAGTTTCCAGAGGTTGCCCATGTTCATGGGCTCATGGATAACTTCCTCTATTCTTCCCTCTATCCTCAACCAACACTAGTGGGTCAATGGAAACGTCTTGTCTCTCCTCCTCCCATTTTCCCTGACACACACACATCTGTATCAACCAGGATAAACCTCTCCATTCCTGTCAGTATCAGTTGATAAGTCCCTTTTACCATGTAAGTTATGTAATTCAGGTTCTAGGGATTAGGATATAGGATCTTTGGAGTAGGGGGCATTACTCTGCATATATTGTAACCAATTTTCCAGGCCAAAAGAAGACAAATTTTAGATCTACTTCTCTAATGAGATTTATGAAGCGTTTTCTCCACCAGGGCCACTACCCAATAGTTTGTACAATTACCCAATAGTTTGTACAATTTAAGATTCTCATTTGGAACCTAATGAGGAGTAATAGTTACGTATTTCAGCTCTGCCCTTAATTTTTGTGCACTTACCAGGCTTTTGTCCGGGAAGTGTATCTTCAAAACCACTAGATTCCCTACTATAATAGTATAGTATACTAGTTCAATTGCTTTCTAAATAAATGCTGTGGGAGTGGAGATTTCCACTGCCTGAGAAAAAGTCAGAAGTGAAACTTCACAACCCAAAGAAAACCATTGAATTTTAAGTGGTGGGAATGGAAATGTTAAAATACCATAGATGAAGGGCAGGACAGATTGCGCCTAGAAGAGTGGCCCTGAAGTGGATCGAGAATGAGAAGAGATGAATTAGAACTTCCATTTTGTCTTTTCACAAGGGGCTGGCATTATCCCCATGCCAGTACCAGCTGGGGTAGTTTCTATTGAAGAGCAAGTCTTCCGTCTATTAAGTAGTGGCAGTAGTGCGATGGGTGGGTATAAACCAAAGGGCCAAAAGTCATTCCTAGCAGCAGAAGGTATTTCCCAGTGGGAAAGTGCACGTGCATGACTTTACAGATTTATGTGCACTAGAATGCAACATACTTGAGTACAGTGGTCTAACTTTCCTAAAGTAATTATTAAAGTGAAAAATAGGAAAACTATATACTCAGTGACTTGATTAAATCAGGTGTTGTTAAACTGTAAGTACCAAAATAGGTTGTAAATCAGCTGTGAACTACATATAACTAAGTGGGTAAAAAAGTTATGGATTTGCCATTTTGATGGGGTGCGCGCCATAGCTTTCATTATACTCAGAGGAGGCTTACACCTAAGTATCCTTAAGCTTCAAAGTACTGACCTAGATAATATTTAAGGTTCCTTTTGCACATTTTAAATCTCATCTAAAAGTTTTGCCTTTTGGCAAAGTGAGTTTTCCTACATAAGCAATTTGATGTAACTGAGATCTAAATTATATCATCTGTTAAGTACCATGGAGTCGATTCCAACCCATAGCAACCCTGTATAGGGTTTCCAAGGAGCAGCTGGTGAGCTTGAACCACCAACCTTACAGTCTGATGCATTAGCCCACAACGCCACATTCCATAAGATATACACCATTATGTATTTTGGTAGTGATTATTTCAGACTATTAATTGCATATGAAACATTTTTTAGTTGGTTTACTTACCAGTAAGTTTAAGATCTGTAAGTAGCTCTAGTAGCATACTGGTTCCAAATCGGGATGAAAACCGCAATTTCAGCAGTTCGAAACTACTAGCTGTTCCATGGGAGAAAGATGAGGCTTTCTGCTCCGATAAAGATTTACAGCCTCAGAAAAAACCCTGTACAGGGTCACGAGTCAGAACCAACTCCACAGCACTTAGCAAGTTTAAGATATAGTTAATTTGGAAATATTTAAAATAATTCCTAATGCCAAGAAAAATTTTACTTAACCAAAAGCTGAGAAGCTGGTGAATTTGAAAAAGATCATGTGGTTAGCAGTCCAGTTCCCAGGTATGGTCCCAAGGTAGGCATTTCAAACCTACCAGGTGCTCCGGTTGCAAGGTCAAAACCGACTTCACAGCGCTTAACAAAAATACAACTGTACTCCATCTATCGTTTTGAGTTATGCATTTAAATTATGGAAACAACTCTATTACAAGCGACCACTCAATACATTCTACAGGCTTACCAATTGTTAAAAATTAAATGTTAGATCCAGCCTGTTCCTGTTACATTCATCTTAAACTTTAATTTTTACTCTAGGTTTAACAAAAAATGTGGAATTCCAAATTTTTGAAACTTTCTAAAATATTTTCAATTTTATTAGTCTTAGTGGAACCAAGTTGCCTTACTTGCCCAGGCCTTTTCCAACTTCAGTTTTGTCTCCAAATATCCATTCAGTCCCAGGTAACCAATTAATTGGTCACCCTAATTGGTTCCCAGTTAGTAAGATTTCTACCTTTTAAAAGCTAATGTTTTCTGATGGATTCTAATCTTTACAATTCTAGCCATTTATCTTCTAAATTGGGATGGAGATGAAGTAGCCATCAGCTTTTTCTTTTCAGTAACCTCACACCTGTTGTCAGTTTTTAGTGACCCTGTAAAACAGGATTTTTTTTAAAGGCGCTCGCTCTGGTAGCATAGTGTGCTAACCTCAAGGTCAGCAGTTTGAAACTACCAGGTGTTCAAGAGAGCTTTCTGCTCCTGCAAAGATTTGCAGACTCAGAAACCCTGTGCAGGGTCAGAGTTGGAACCAACTCCACAGTACTTAATAGGATTTTAAAGGAGCAGCTGACATTTGAACCTTGTGCTTCAAACCAACCAGTGCTTGTCTACAGCCCCACACCAAGACTCCAGTAGTAACAACCTTTAAATGAAATATTGTCACCTAAGTAACCTTATAAGGTAGTATCCTGGTCCAATGATGCCACGAAATTTTTGCATGACATTAACATTTTCTTTACAATATTGACATAAACAGAATTTCATATAGAGCCAGTAACTGGCACTAGTTTTTCCCTCCTGTGGGAATTAGGAAACTGAAACTTATGTATTAAACTGACCCCACAGGATATTAGACAAAACTCAACACATTAACTGTGATCCACAAGGTAAAAGGGAATGTCTGTGTGACCATACCAATAATGGTTTTGCTGAGCTGAAAACGGAATTTGGGCGCGAACTTAAATTTATGGGACAGAATACAGTAAGCTTAAGATTCCCAAAGTTATCTTTTGTCTTTAACTCAAATCCATTAAAACTATCCCCAAGTGGTTTCCAAGCTTTCGAGATTATAACTCAAACACCTCTTTTGGGCAACTTTTATGGAGAGATGATTGTCAAGTTAAGGAATTATTGAAATGCATACACTGTGTAAATTTCATTACATGTGCAAAGGTCAAAAAAAAACACCAGTTTTTTGGGCTTGAGTGTAGACTGGGAGGGAGATCAAATAGTGTAAGTTTAGCATTTATCTTGAAGGCAAAGATGATGGCAGTGATACTAGATTTACACTATAGTGGTACAGAAGGATTTTCAGAGGCCGAACACTATGGTCAGAGTATCAGTTAAGAGACTGCTGTTCTTAAAGCCAATAGTCTGAGCACAGTAGCAGCACTTGGTTTGCAGAAGTACAGATTAGAAAATGTTTGACAATGTGTCCAATCAACGCTGCATCCAACATGGAGCTATGAAAATCAATCAGCACCAAGATAACCTGCAAAACTCATGAGCTTCCTAATAAATGCATTATATGGTGATAGTGCTTCACAAGAAAAGTAAGAAAATGATAGCACAGCCCATTTTTCTAGGAAACCAACACAATTTAATGCATTTGTATAGCTTCATATAAGTGATAAGCTTCTGTTAAAATAGAAACTGCTAAAATCTGACAGTAACATTTTCAATAGCATGCCTTCAAATAAGAGCCATTTCTGTGGAGGAAATAAGATATGAGGCTCCACACCTTAAGGGAGCTACTAGCCCCTAAAAATGTGACCGTACCAGATTTCAGTACCAAAACAGCAAGTTGTGGAAAGATCAGGCATGTGAAACATGACATTTTGGGAATCAAAAGTGCTAACTTACGGTATTTGTCCCTTCACAAAGAACTCAGTAAAAATCATGAGAAACATCAAGTTGTCTGTGGTAATTTTTTTATTAAAATAAAACACATCAGATCATGATAGAATAGGATGATCACCATGGAATCCTAGACAGGAAGTGTCTCTACCAGTATCACTGTAAGCAAAACCTGAAGATCTCTAGTTTATTCTAAACAAGCCCCCAAGAACTTGTAACTTTGAAGGCTAAATCGGAAGCCCCCAAGAATCTGTAATAAGTAAACCTTCACCCAATTCACATAATAAAGTTATAAAAGAAAACAAAAACACCAATATAAAAACAAACTGTTCTGTAGTCCCATAAAAAGACACTTCCAGTTATTCTCAGAACTGCTAGCAGTGGTGGTCCAGGAGCAAAACAGAACCACATAAATTAGTCCTCCCATTAACAAAGAGGAAACAAAATGAGGTAATATGGGGGGGGGGGGCGTGGTCAAGGAGCAATTGCTTTTCTGATTGCAAGTAATGGCAGAAACTCTGCAGATGAGGTCAAGCAGAAATGAGTGAAGCGAACAGCATAGAAATGAAAAGGTAAAGCAAGTGCAGGTCTAATGGTAACAATGGGGATAACTGCTTCTACTATCTGGTTAAACCATGGAAAGAAAGCCTTTCCCAATTGTAAAACTGCACAAAAATGTTTGTTCATTCAAATTGTAAACATAAAATATACCAGGCCGGATTGTCCCTTCACTCACCCATATGAGCAGAATATACTAGTACTATATACTTCCCAAGCCAGGAGTTCCATCACTAGCACTATCTTCTAATGAGCTGTCACTGTTTCTCTGCTGGCAAGAATAGGAAATGTCTTCATCATCCCAGACACTGTAGATATAAACTCAGAATATAAGACCCAACTGTGTTTTACCATTCCATCTTGTATCACAGTGGCATTCAACCTCAAACAAGCTAATGACACCCAGTATGCCGCAGGAAACTACTAAAAAGTAGTCTTTAAAACTTGTCAGATCTTTGAAAAATCATTGATCAACAAGTATCTGTTATGATAACATAGAATTTGTCCAACTAAAATTTGGTGACACTTTCACTTTATGTAAATACTAGGGGGAGATCCAATGTTAGTGGAAAAACTCCATTATCTTATAATTCCACAAACTTTTGAAAAGCCCCCTTCCTTCCTTGTGTAATCTTGAGAAGTCTGAATTGCAATGGAAAATGATTAGGAAAGGAAAATTTTCACCTTAGTCTTAAAAAGAGTTTCCAAATACAAAGCTTGGAGGGATACCAACTGTGAAACCTTAGAAGTCCCAAGTTTCCCTCAAGTGCAGAGGTCTGTTGTGAGTTTGCGCACTGGCTTAACTTCCAATTTCAGGACTAATTATTCCAACTGTTACCAGTAATAATATCACTAGGTGTACTTCTGAAACAGAGTACATTTTTTTCATTGATGTTTAGGAGAAATGTAACTGGGATTGAAAAATTATTCTAATGTATAAGATCAACAATTAAATACGTGGCTAATATTCAGAGTAATACTTTATTTTCTATTGTATTAAACTAAAGCCAAGAAAATATCAAGGTAATTTCAAAGGCAGATCTTTACTCCTTAAAGAAAAAAATACAAACGGTGGTACTTTTATAATAGATCATTATTTTTACATAATATAAACAAAATCACTAATGTATCTATATACTTGGTTTCCTTAAACTACAATGAACCACAGAGTGGAAGGAAAATGAGTTTACTTACTGGTGGGCAAACAAGTATTTTGGGAAAATACATAGCATGCATTTTTTTAAACCTGTCTACAAGTATATGCTGACATAACAAAGCTTTAAAAGCCACCACCTCTGCCTTGTCCAAAGTAGCCTCCTCCAAAACCCCCCCTGGGACCCCCACGCTGGAATCCCCCAGATCCTCTGAATCCACCTCCACCAGACCCTCTGTAATCTCCTCCAGACCCTCCTCTGAAGCCACCTCCTCTGAAACCTCCACCACCACCTCCACCATATCCTCCCCGAAAGGAGTTGGAACCCCCACCAAATCCACCACCACCAAATCCCCCGCCACCTCCATAGCCTCCACTCCCATAGCCTCCACCGCCATACCCACCACCATAGCCTCCCCCACCATAGCTAGAACCACCCCTTCTGTAGCCACCTCCATTGTCATAGCGGGCCATCTTGGGAGGACGTGGACCATCTCCATACCTAGGAAAAAGCACAAAACCATACCTTTTAGCAGTTAATCCTAATTTGTCATCAAATCGACACATTCCACCCCACATAAAATTCAATCAAAAACGGAATGAAAACAAATGCACAAATACAAACAGAAAGTAAATTTTATCACTCTTTGGTCCTAACTCTGAAATACGAGACGGCATTAAAAAGGTGTGTGTGTGTGTTTGGGGGGAGTGGGGGATCCACTGTCTCACAAACTTTTTGACAATTTGTCTACACCAAAATTTTCTCCATATGGTAAAGTAAATGAAAGCTAATGAAAATATTTATATTTGTTATTAGGACATTCCAACACCGAGTTCAATGCAACACACTGCAAATCAATTATTCCTCCAGTGGGGTAGACGCTTCTCTCAAATACTGGCCCTCCCCAAAAAGTAGCTCCACCAGTCAGAATGAGACTGGGATCATCTGTGCAGCACACCTTTTAATCCATCACCATCCCTAAGAATTCTACCACAAATCCAACAATTTCTTCACTTCTTTGTTCCAATTGTTTCTACTGTAATTCAGAATACTGTCTCAACGATACATGCTAAACGTTTTCTTGAATTTATCCAATCCAGTCCTAGTAGTTGTATCAACACTGTGTATACGTAATAGATACTCATCCCTCCGAGAGCAGATGATCTGAAGTCAAAGAATGTCCTCTTAAACATTCATCTACCACCCTCTCAAGAGTGTATGTCTTTATAGGGTTCCTTTCTACCTATAACACATACTGATGTATTAGAGACCATTAATATACAGGCATAAGACAGTAAAGGACTACCTGCACTAAATTTCATAGTCAATTTGTTTATAAAATTTTAACCTAAAAAAACCTAGCCTGCATTTATCACAGGACTGTATTTTATATAGCTGCTCTCTGCTTGGTACTCACCGTACACTGCCAATCATAAGGGTGATGCCAGAAGCAGAGGGCCTAGAAATTTGGCGAATTGTGTTCAGCATTCGTTCATTTGTGGGGTCCAACTGGCTGATGATGTCAGGCTGTTTGGTTACCTCAACAACCAGAGATTCCATGGCTGCCCGGAGAGCAGTGATGCAGGCAGCAGCTTCATGGGATATTTGCAGTTTAATCCTGAAAAAGAAAAATAATTTCTTAGCCAATTTTAGTACTTGAAACTACTGTATCCTAAGATTTACACATGAACATTTATATTAATATGCACTAAACTACTAAAATTCACTGCAATATATCAGCAAAAATTTAAAACTACTAAGCACAATACTAGAAGTACAGTGAACCTCCTTACAAAAAGCAACAGAAATAAGAACCATGAGACTGCTACGCAGGATAAGGATGAGAATTAATGCTTCCTCAAAGATTTAAAACCTTGGAAACCCCATACATGCTCACTGTGACTTGACGGCACAAGAAGCATAATATTGGCAGCAGTACACAGCATTTAGCCTCCAGTAAAGAATGACACAGATGTTATGAGTTTTCCAGGATTTTAAGGATACAGCTGAGCCTAATTTTCATTATATTGGATTCCATTTTGTGCTAAATGCTTATCAATGTGTGGAGCGCCCTGGTGTGCCGCGGGCATGACAATGCAATGGATTGCAAGGTCAGTGGTTCAAACTCACCAGCCACTCCTCGGAAACTCTACACAAGGTTCTCTATGAGTTGGAACTTGAACAACAATGTAATGTGTTCGCATTGAAAAACAATGTAATGTGTGGACTATGTAAAGTGTCAATATTATGTTGATAGATGAGTCAGTTCTGATTCATGGTGACCTTGTATAGGATTTTCAAGGGGCCCTGGTGGGTTGGATCTGCCAACCTGTTGTTAGCAGTCCAGTGCTTATCTTACAGCACTATTTGTGTCTACAAATTAAATCACATTAGCACATTAATGGCATCACATGTCAATACTACGAATTCAGTTTGAGGTTCACATACAAAAATACATACCAGTCATCTATAATCATAATCTGCCCATCAGACTGCACTTTCTTGGCGGCAAAGAGGAGCAACTGTAAGGGAGTCACTAAAGTCATGCCTTTAGCAGAGATGGCTCGGGTTCGAATCTGCAAATGAAAAAGAGGCAAGAGGAAAGAGTTTACATTCCATATTAACAATGAAAGACATGCTTTGAAAACTAAAGTAAGGTAAAGCAATTTCGATTTTCAGTGTAAACTTTACATATTTTTTTCTTACCTTTTCACCAAATACAAAGAAAGGGCATGGGTATTTCATGTCCTGGCTTCCAAAAGGACAATTGACAGATGATTTGTGAATAAGTGCGTTACGCCCTTCGGTGGTAAGGATCTTTCTCTTTTCCTTATGATAGCAAACATTGGGGTATACCCCAAAGGCCAAGAGGGAGATAACAACATCCAAATTATTATCTGGTCCAGTGTTAGTAAACACTTGTGTCAGCAAACACTCTGTAAAGAGGAGTAAGACAGAAAAATCAGATAACTGGCTAACCTTGTATCATATACACAGAGTAAACACAGTAATAAAATGCCAAAGTTCTTTTACAGACTCAAAACATGGCGTAAGCTTGAAGTGATTACTTATGAAAAAAATCCCCCAATTAACCATCTATACTCAAATAAGACAAAGACAAATAAAAACAAAATATAACCCAGAAGGGTATTTTTAAAAGTTATAATTCCTAGGGAAAATGCAGAAACCATAAACAGGGCCAACCACTGGAATGAGAGCCTATGTTTCATCTTGAGTTTGGACAAAGGATTTAAAACTTTGGTGCCTGGTTCCTCTATGTGCCTCAGAAACTCTATAACGGAAGGTGCTATGAGTTGGAATTGACTTGACAACTCCCAAGTGTTTCTGAGAAGTGATTATCAATCTGCCAGACTTCTATTACTTTTAGAGTTCGGTGTGATGCTATATAAGCACTAGGTTGCTAATCACAAAGGTTCAAGCATAATGCGGTTTACTTCCTTTTTTAAAGGACTTTATTAATGTGGAAAACGGAAATCACAGGAGTTCAAAAACGAAAAACTAGCTGTGGATATAGAGAATGCATCATGTATAAAGTCTGAAGTCAAACACGTCACTGAAAATTCAGATGTCCTGTGAGTTAACGTGCTGCGCTGCAAAGTGGTTTGAACTCCAAGGTTGGTGGTTCAATCTCACCAACTGCTCCTTTGAAAACCCTATACAGGGTGGTCCCAACAAACTCTACGGCACTTACTAACAACAACAAAAACACGAATTCAGGTATGTATTTTAAGAATGTGAAGCCTTCTTACCTTCTGGAAATCCAGAGTTAATCAGAATTTCTTTGAGCTGAACTTTAGCCTCCCAAGTCATTCTCAGTGTAGCCATATTCAGTCTCTTGTGCTCACAAAAACGTATCTCTGCCTCTTCTCCACCCATTCTAAAACATGCACAATTTGAAGTCATTCACAAAGTCCAAGTAGCTAGATGTAGATTAGAAACTGAAGACTATACACATAAAAAATATTAAGTTTATACCTAGCATCATCCCATGCTTGGAATACTGATAAAAGGGCCACATGATCAGAAAATCTGTTCCCAGCAAAATTCCGATGGATATAACCCAGTCTCTTTCCTTCACTAATGAAAGGCTCTGGAAAGCAGGTGGCAGCAGAGATGGTACAGACAGCATCTCCCACACTGAAACAGACAAATCCAGAGTAGATGATCCTTTTGTCAGCAACTAGAATGGTATTATCAAGGTGGATAAAAAGTCTTTTTTCGGTTAGAATACTGCTTCTATTAGCACTGAATTTAGCTTATTATCATAAGTCACATCATGAATGCATTGCTATTTTTCCTTTCAATAAATCTTACATTCTTCAAAATTTTGTGATAAAATTATCTCTTACATTATTCTCTTTCATGGGAAAATTTACCTCTTGGGATGAAATGTACGTCTTTTATGAGGTCTGTGTTTTTTCCTATGTACGATGGATCAAGAAGCCCATCTACTGAATTTCATTTTGGTCATGTGGAAGTAAACTATGTTTGCCAATATTCTCTACTTAAAAACAATTATACTTCTTTATCTGAGAAAATCCTACTTTTTTGAATAGGAGAAAAGAAGGATAAGATTCTGAAGTTGTTCTACCATTTAACTACCAGCAATGAAAAAAAGTACTTACTAGAAAATACACCCCATTATCATCATTTTGCCAAAACGAGGTTCAATGGGGAGTTTAGCCAGGATTCTTCCCAGAGGTGTTAACTCATCATTGGCATCTAACGCATCAAGCTCTGTAAGGAGGCATTTCTTGGTGAGTAGAAATAGTTATAAACACTCATTTAGACAAAAATGAAACATTTCTTTCAAGATTATCCTATTGACAATGTACCTAATTTCAACACGTCAACTTACAACACCATGCTTCACAGCCAACAATTTTAATTCTTTTCACTCAAAAACACACTGTATCAACACCCTGGGTAGAAATAATCTCTCTTTAGAAACGAAGGCAAGTGTGGTCCATAGCCATGAAATCATGTGATGGACAGAGACAGGAAATAGGGGTGCCTTGCTCAAAGATGGCCAATGACTGTGCCACTGTATTTGTCACTTTTCCAACCTGGCAGTAACTCAACTCCTGCATCAGATTCCTGACTCTATTCCAGGGATTCAACCCTCAATTTTATCCTTAATAATATATAACCAAATTGTATCATTCTGGTCTGTTCTGGTTCCACTGAGCAAGCCATTAATGACCAGTAAAAACTGTTCAGTAGAAAGAACTAGGTCTAGAATTGAATATAGTCTCTAAATGCAACAATAATTATAATGGCAGCCTAAGAATTTACTTGTTAGTCTTCTGTCTTTTTTAAAGAGAAAAATGAAACAATCTGGCCCCAAAGCCTTTTTTCCTACCACTTTACACTCTTTCATTGTAATCAACATGGTAATATGGCATTTTCCCACTAACTTTTCAAAGTCCCTTGCAGATCCAGTTTAAAAATGTACAGAAAACACTGTGGTACTCATTTGTGACTGAGACTCTAATTTTTACACACTGGTGAGGAGATAATAGCCTTCCCTTTTTTCTACTCTCCTTTGTCTCCTGCTGCAGTCAGACTCATGTTGTTATCCTCTTCTATAATGTAGTCCATTATAATACTGACTACACTAAGTATGTATGACACACCATCAGTAGCTTCATTATCACATCCCAGTTGACCAAACCTTATTTAATCCATTATGTTATTATTTCCTAGGATAAGACAGATGGTATAATTAAAATCTGTGTAAGGTAGAGTATTTATTTACAGATACCTCTAAGAGTGTGCTCTGCTTCAATCACAGCATCCAGAGGAGGAGGTTCAATTGCCTTAGCCAGAAATTGACCAATTCCTCCCAGACGAAGAAGTTTTATGCTCAAAGCAATTTCGTGCAATGGTGTTCGGAACATTTCTGGGGTCATGTGAGTTTCAAGCCTAAAAAAACAAACATAAAATTACCATTCCTTTATGAATATAGTTTAATAAAATCTCTAGAGAATAGGAATAAGAGTGTTCCTGTCATTTTATCATCTACTACCAAAGATGTTCTCTCTTGAAAAGATCCTAAGCAAGTTGAGTGGTGACTTCGGTGACCTTAACCTACTTTATGGCAGTTTCAGATGAGGGACACTTAGGAGGAGAAAAAACCCTACATGTATGTAACCTCCTGTACCTATGGCTGTTGAAACATGTGGGTTGAAATGCTAACAAGGTGCTTTGGGATTATCATCTCATTTCTCCCATGTACATATAATTAATGATACTGGAAAGATCTTACAGAAAGTAATCCTTCAAATTTTTATTATAAAATGACAACATGTCTTTTTAAGGAAACAGTATTAAAAACAAGTCATTTTATAGAAATTCTCCAGAATTATAGAATGAGGACTAGAGACCACAGAGGTTTAAGATTACATATTAGACACAAACTATATTGATATACAGAGCTTTAGAATTCTAATTCAGACTTACTCCCTATACAAATCATTTTTAGTAAAGATTCAGGGTAATCATTTACAGGTGATTTCAATATCACTAACAGATTTTAACCAAGTCCTACCCAGGCTTATATAAAACTACGTATCAATTTCCCAACCAACAGAATTATTAATGATCTTATGTATACTATGACTAATACAAAAAGTGGTTTTACTTCAAGCTACATGGAATAAATATACCAACTTGTTTATTCAATTCACAAGACAATCCAAAGTTAAATATTTTAAATCAAGTTAAAATTTATCTTCCAAATGTTCTTGAACACTGCTTGAGTTAAACTTCTGATAATCAAAACATGGGGAGTCCTGGTGTGGTGCTGTGGGTTAACATACTGGATTGCCAAGGTTGGCGGTTCAAGCTTACCAGACACTCTTAGAAACTCTATGCAGGGGTCACTATGATTAAGAACTGACTCAACAGCACTTAGCAACACTCAAACATACATACACCAAAACCAGTATAAAATAGCTTCAGACTTTTCTTCAGGGTATTTTATATTAGTTTGTCCATTATCTTATTATTAACACACAAACCTTATTTTAATTATCAACTGACTACCACATGAATTTTCTCCACATTACCATGCACAAGCATTTCTAAAAGGGGACAACTGTAGTATAAATGAAAACGGGACAGGAAATTCAGAGCTGGCATTCAGTCTGGGCTCTGAAAAATACATAGCATTTAGGCGACTAAACAAGAATGAAAGTTTCCTTATCCAAATAACCCACTTAAGAATGAGGATCATATGAAGAGGTGATATGATCACTTGAAGTGATTAACACTGAACAAAAGAAAATTTATTAATAAAAAGGTAGCACTATTTTTGACTTAAAACTTCAGAAAATTAACCAGTCCACAAACATTCACAATGCCTACATTATATTTACATATACTCCTTTCAAAGAGTTGTAATCAGAAAATAGGAAATCAACCATGCTAACACTGCCAATTACTGATTTCATTCTTATCCTAGTTAAACTCCCTCCAATTTATTTAACCAGAAACATTTATGTCTTAAGAATGTTTAAAGGCATTTTAAATTAATTTAACTCACTACTCAAGCATTAGATTGATAGTTAATCAAACTTATTAGTGGTTGGTGGTGGTTACTTGGCCGAAATGTCAACTCCAACTCATAGCAAACCCTGCACATTATTTCTGAAGCTGTCAATTTTTAGGTGAGCAGTAAAGCCTCATCTTTCTCCCAAAGAAGCACTGCTAATTTTGAACTGCTGACCTTGAGGTGTTTAACAAGCCTATCTCATAATCACTATGCTAGCAGAGCTCCTTTTATTAGTGCTTTGGGTGAAGGCGGGGCCAGCAAGGAAAAATCACATTACTAGAAAAGGGTCAAGTTGACTATGGTTTCTTCACACACTTCAGTTAATTGGCCAAATAGCATGTTTAGTGCTTTTGTTCAACCTAGTTTGCCGTGTAGTGGCAGGGTCTTAAAATCTTACACGTGATTACATTCCAGGTACAATAATTGGTCTCTATTTACCTGGAATTAAGGAGAGTAACCAATAACAGGAAGAACTACTATCTTAAGAATAGTTAAGCTTAACAAGTAAACATGCCTGCCTTGAACAGTATGTCCTATCAAAAACTATCTATCTATATGGGACCAAAGTGATAAAACTTGGGAGACAATGAGTTATTGGGAGAGTGAGGGGGGAACAACTCAAAAAGGAGGATGAGAATGGCTGCACAGCTTTCAATCAAAAATGTACATAAACAGTCGGCCTATGTTTAGTTGTATATATTCTAAATAACTATATATATATATATAATAAGGAGCTCTGGTAGCGTAGTGGTTACAAATCGGGCTGCGAACCTTAAGGTCAGCGGTTCGAAACTACCAGCCACTCCGCGGGAGAAAGATGAGGCTTTCTACTCCCGTAAAAATTTACACCCTCGGAAACCCTGTACAGAGTCGCTATGGGTCGGACCCGACTCGATGGCACTTAACAACAACAACAACAACATATATATATATAAAAATAAGGATATCAGTCTTACTTCTCAAAACGAGCTCGGCTGCAGAGGTGAAAGCAGAATCCAGGTCGCACTCGGCCTGCTCGACCTTTCCGCTGCTCAAGGTTTGTTTTGGATGCCCATACTGTAGCATAGTTGGTCATGTTGTTGTGAGCAGTAAACAGCTTCACTTTCTGCCTATAATTATAAATAGCAACGAGGGTTTAATTCCAGTATACGACTTGTGATGCCTGTATGTGACCAGCACAAGAAAGAATTGGCAGTCTAACTCTGCATTCTCATTGCTGTCAAACTACTAAAAGACAAGATGATATACATGTACCACTTAAAAGCTAAATGACTTTAGCCAAGCTAATACTATCCCTCAATGATTCATTTTCCTTATCTGAAAACACCACTACCTAAACTCCAGATTGTCTTTGTTAAAATATTAAGTTAATAAGTAAACGTTAAGAATTAAAAGCAGGGTGTGGGGATGCACTTAAGTTATGTTACAATTATACAAGTCAACCTTGAAGGACTTTGCGCCTGATCAACAAAATGGCATTGCAACTACCCCAAATGACACTGAATGGGTTCAGGCTTGGCTTGAGCTTCTGACCCAGGAAGCTTGGGTCTTTGTTATACCTGGAGACACCCCACCCCCACCCCCCGGAAATTGCAGGTTTCAGGAAAATCTCCATACCCTGCCCATTGTAAACTTGTCAGAACTATACCCAGACTACAGGGACTATAAATACCCCAGTCTGTAAGGGAACAGACTGGCTCTTGGTCTCCTTTGGTGTCTTAAGAGTACCCCTCCCAGGATTACTCAATAAACCTGCCTGCTATTGAAGCCAAGACTCTTTCTTTCTTTTCCTTACACACCTATACTTCAAAACTTTCATCACTTTTGGTTACAATCCAAAGTTTATCTGCTAAAACTGATCTAACAGTATCTGCATAGTCCTTTATAAGAGCATACACATAAGCAGAGACTACCAAATGATATGGGATTGGCACAAGAGAGCCAAATGCTATCCTAAAAGAGTCCTGCTGTGGTGCTGCAAAATAAACACTGGACTTCTACCCAAAGACTGGTGGTTCAAATCCACTAGCCACTCCTGAGAAACCCTCTATAGGGTCGCTGTGAGTCAGAACAGACTCAATGTCACTTGACGTAGGCACTAAAAGCACTGGTGGTACTGTATAAGCACTAGACTGCTAACCATAATGTGGGCATTCAAACCCAACAACACCAAAGGAAGGACTGTAATGTGTTTGTTTGTTGTTGGTAGTGGTGGTGGTTTTCTCCCAAAAAAAAAAAAAAAAAAAAAAAAAAATCCTGGGAGAGCTATGAACCCCAAACTGGCTGCATATAGATTTGCTTTCTTTTCTGTGTAGAAATGAACATCTAATTATTTGGTATACAATGCCTTGTGTCTTACACTCATTTCAAACAAAACATTAAAAATACTTTAATTCTTAAAGGTGTCAGGTGCAGACAGTTAAGTGTCACTGAGTCAGTTCTAACTCAACATTCAATATACTCTTTCCAAAGAGTGCCTAGTGGGTTAGAACTGCTACCTTGTAATTAACAATCTAGTCCTTATCCTACGGGCACCACACCAGGACTCACTAAACAGATCAAGTGGGAATCAGTCAGAAGTTATTTAATTTCTAATCATGGTAACTAAAGGTAGATACTTAAGGTATTATTGAGTCAAGTAGTACTTACTTGCAGGAATCAATGACATAAACAACATCGTTTATGGTAATGCTTGTCTCAGCAATATTTGTGGACAAAATAACCTGTGAAGAAATGGCAAGAAATATTGTATTTAATAAAACAATCCTATCATGTTTGAAAGGATTCATTTGTTTCTGCAATCAAAGACAAGATAATTACAGGTCTTCCAACATTCATCCAGCAAATGGATTATAAAAAATAAATACACTCAAATAATAAAAGTGTTTTCTAAAATTTTTTGAGTAGAATTTTGATGAATTGTAATCACGGCTAATTCAAAGCCCTTCCAGGTTCACTCAAAGGGGACCGGAATGGACCATAAATAGTAAAATTTAGTGTACCGGAAAGAGTAACAAAATAGGGGGAAATTTCAGGTAATGCCCTGCTAAAAATGTCTTTATTAAAAGACAATTTTGTGTTGAATGTGAACCAAATTACTTAAATGAATTGAAAACAGCAATGCAAGGCTCAAAAAGAAAAGAACATTGACTGACAACTTGAATCTGTGTCACTTTCCACACTCCTGGCAATAGTCTACATCAGCCTTAGGTGAAATGGCTCTCTAATCCCTCCCATTCCTGGGGCTAGACAGACCTCTTAACTTTTCACATTCCAATGAATGTTCTGAACACCCACTGTACAAATTTCTTTTTCTGTTTTTATTGTATTAACAGGTCATTACTAACCAAGCGGTCACGCTGGTTTGGTATCTATGTCAATTCCAACCTCATAATTGTAATACTGTGTACCACATTAACTGTATTGCATACCTTGGTTACACCAATTGGTACTGGATCAAATACTTTGCGTTGTTCCTCTCGAGGAATCTGAGAATGCAGAGGAAGAATCTGATACCGATGGCTCCCTAAAATACAGTACAGGTTAAAAAAGGTCATCATTTGGTGCACTTTAATTCAAAACACAATTTTCTACATTTTTATATACTGGAAATGGTAGAAACTGAAGTATTTCCTCTCTATATATATTATGTGTGAAGTACAAGCCTCATACCAAAATGTGCATTCATTTCCAAATGCTTCTGCATAGTATAAATCAAATTCCAGCCAGGCAGAAAAACTAATACAGCTCCAGGAACATTAAGCGTTTCAATGTACTTAAGCAGAGCCTCAATAAGTTCAAAAGGAGTTTCCTTTTCATTCATTTGAGACATGCTCATCCTTGTTTCTGGACCATATTCATCACCACAGATCAGGTTACAATTTGTCTGCAAACGATAGGTAGATTAAGTCAAGAAATAGTTTGTAAATTTGATCTATATATTCAAGACAGAGACATACCATTAATTACAATTGAGTAATATTACAGCATATAGAAATTTCATTTCCAAAAATGCAGAGCGTATTATAGGAGTAAGATACAAGCAGTTTCCAGGTTACAAATGTGTTTTTATTTAGTCTTTCTCTGGTGTCAGAAAAGGCTCAAAGCCACTTTAATCATTTTTAAAACATAACTGAATGACTTACTGTATACTAAACTTTGTAAAAGGAGATGAGGGCTTTAATAAGTTCGTGGGAGAATTTCCCATTTTGAATTTATCAAACAATTACAGAATACATTCAACAAATCATACGTCTTGGTTTCTTAAATTGATAGCAATCTCTTCCATCTACCACTAGTTAACAGTAATTAATTACCTCTATTTCCTTTAATTTATGCACTCCTCACTGTGTTTCCTGCCAACCTCCCTCTTGAATATTGTCTACCACGTCACCCGAAGACTGTGTGTACACTAAATTGATGTAATCGGGTGGCTTCAAAAGTTGGTGTGGAAATTGTTCTTTTCATTGCAATGACCCAAAAATCTTTTGAACTCACTTCATATTAACCGTATCAAAATTAATCACATCAATCACTGTGGTTATTGTGACAAACTACCTTATCGAGAGTCCTTCTTGCCCTTATTGGCCCTCTACTTTGTCAGCTGTAGAGTGTGATCTACCATCATCTAGTGACTGATCCTGCCTGAGGACCTGTTCTGGTTTTGTAATTTATTAACATTTTTACTGGCTAATTTCCAGAGTAGATCAACAGTTCTTAATAGTCTATTTTGCTCTTTAAGGTTTGCTGAAATCTATCAGAAATCTCAACAACCTCCTTGGAAATTCTATACAACGTGGCTGTCAGTCATACTCCTGATAATCAGGAGAAACAATCTTGGTACAATTGGTCTCTTTTTCCCCACTTCATACTAAAACAAGCTGTTTTGCTTTTCATAATTTATACTCTTTGCTTTTCATAATTTATACCCTAGAGGCAATGAATCAGAATCTACAGTTTAACAAGATGCCCACACGACACTTCTTTAAGGATAAAGTACATTAAGTATACTTGACAGAATCTACAGTTTAACAAGATGCCCACATGATACTTATTTAAGGATAAGCTACATTAAGTATACTTGGAAGTCACTTGTGAAATGTAGATTAATTCTGTACGTCTGGATCAGGAAAGCAAATTCTGAGAGGGGGGCCAACCCTTAATGATCCAGTTCTGAGCCTTGCTTAACCATAATGAAAAGCCTTCTACTTACATCATCCTCCTCTCCACCATCTTCATCTTTCTCCTTCTTCTTTTTGTCCTTTGGTGGAGGAATAAAGTGTGTCATCTGAATACAGTCTTCCAGAAAATATTCTATAAAAAACAAATCAGTCATTAGATTACCATCAACTTGGAGCATTTTTAAAATCATCTACTGATTCATGGAGTCCTGGTGTGTGGAGCTGTGTGGGATAATGCACCAGACTGGAAAGCTGTTTGAACTACAAGGTCAGCAGTTCAAGCTCACCAGCTGCTCCTTGCAAATCCTATACAGGGTTCGCTTTGGGTCGGAACCAACTCAATGGTGCTTAACAGCTGAGTCATACTTTAGTATCCCCTTCAATCTGATTCTTCACCAACTGCCAAGAAATTCCAGTGGCAGTGTAATTTCAATGCTCGTGTCTCCCATTAGAGCATCCTTTGTGCACAATATCCAATCAACCATCTATGAGTAGAAGCACTATGCTTTAACCCTTAAAAAGTCTGCTAAGATGGCAGAAGGCAGACTCTCCAGTAGGTACTATTCAATCTGTCTGGGCGGAGCTGATGAAAGGAGATACAGATGGGTAACTCGCAATACTGTAGTGAATAATGCTTATCAGGACGGATTATGAGGGTTGGAAATGCAAAGGTGGAAGTTTTGTAACAAGGAAGGGAGTGATTAATTCTCCAGGATTAGAGCGTAGGCCTCCGAGACCATCAACGGAGAAGAGCCAAGAGCGGGACCCTACCCAGAGAAACAAAGATGCCTGAGATGGAGACAGAGATGATGACGTGGAGTGATGAGGTGACTGGGGACTTTGGACCCAGAGAGGGAAAGGGACTATGGGCTGAAAACTGGGGGGAGGAAGGGGAAGTGTAGGGGGCAGGTTTCTGGGATATATCCTTTGGGTGGGTGATGATGCATGGAGGGGATTGGAACCATGGCAGTGAGATGATATAAGATGGAATGAATGTAAAGCTAAAGTTCTCCCATGTAAACTATCATGTAATTCACATTAAAATAAACAAACAAACAACATGGAATGTAAGAGACATTGGGGGAAAAAAAGTCTGCTAAGGCTGTGCAGGTCAAGAAATTATTTAATGTATCTTCCAACCGTATCATTGTAATTTATTCCCAAATCACTTTTTCATTTGTCTGGATACTGAGAAGCTGGGTGGAATTGCGAACAGCCTGTATGAGTCAGTTTTAAGTGACTGTTAATAAGGCTAATTGTGAATTGTCAATTTTGTCATCCTGCTAAGGTATAAAATAAGCTGTATTATAGTCAGAGAGAGGGGATCTCATTACCAACAAAATTTAAGAGCCAGGGTTGTTTGCATGCAGAGATCTCTGTGCGTTTAATGTCCAGAAAAGAAACAGCCAAGACAAAGCACTGGACTTCTTGGCTCATATAACAAACAAAACCCAAAGACTTCTAGGCAGAAGCCTTATTTTGTGGAGCGTTTTCTCCAAGTACTCATTTAGGTGTTAGGTTTGCTGGCTGATCCATACCTACAGCTGAGTGCCTTCTAGTGTCCTTAGGGGATATTTATCAACAGCTCAAATAAGAACTTTAACATTGCCTGTGCAGAGAAGCCTGCTTATGGAACAGCTGAGAGGCTGTCCTGGCTAGATGAACTGTTCCTTGACCAATTCTGTATGGCGTCTTGAGCTCTATGTGGCCACTACAATAAATTGTCAAAGCCAGCTAAGTGCTGTGCGACGAATGGCTGATACAAGAATTTTGCCACATTATATTGTGGAAAGCATTAACCTCAGTATGATACAAAAGGGTTTTGAAAGGTTTATAGAATAAAAAGAAAAAAATAATGGAAAGGGAAACTAACATCCGTAAGAAAGTCAGGCACTTCAACATTATTTCCCTCTTTTATCCATTCAGACTATACTTTGACACTTGTATCGTAGAGCCCTGTTGTTTCAAAGTTGGTTTCCCTTGACTACTATTGTAAAAGTGTGATAGAAAGGAATCACGGGAAACACAGTTACAGAAACATCAATAGCCCATCTTCAGCCTATAACTGAATGGAATACCTAAACAGGGTTCCTGAACTTGCCCAGTGAAATAAGACTTCTTGTGGACCCTTTCTAGAGTATAGAATCAAGATGAGAGCTACACATACATGGTCTCTGCTACTGGAAAGCCATTGCCCTCTTATCAGAAAGAATCAGAAAATGTGAGGGTGTTACAAAATGTTTCATGGAAAAATAAAATAGCATGATTCCACAAACTCTCTGAAGCCCCCTCATGTAATGTTTAATGACACACATATATAAATGATGTAATTAACTTTATAGCTAAATTTGCTACTTGTATCTAATTTCTAAAACATCCTAACATATAAGCATGGGTTTTTACTTATATCCTATGATGGAAACCCAGATCATGTTTCACTGTCATTTCCTCACTCCAACAAAGAAACCAACTACCATCCAGTTACATATTCTCACCCCCAGTACACATGTACAGCAGGTTCAGAAATTATTAGCACATAACTCAATGAAAATCACCTCTTTCTACTCAAAACCTCATCTCCACTTCACAGACCACAATAAAAAAATAACTACTACAGTAAGAAAATATACAAGGATTACAACACATTGAATCCTTTTCCATCCTTCTTCCAATCTCCAAGATAAAGATGATCCAATTCTTAGGACACAAAAGATGTTCAAACCTTTTCACAACACATTATTTACCTTGAACTGGGAAAGTCCTTCCATAAACCTCAATAATGGGACAATTGAAAAAATATTCACAGAACATGCTGGTATCGATAGTAGCAGACATGAGGACAATGCGAACTTCAGGGTAAGCTTGAACCACATCACGCAGTACTACCAAGATGAAATCAGTCTATTAAAAAAAATAGGGAAAAGAATTGCAGAAAAAATGAGTGCTCATAAATACACCTTAAAGAATACCTTTGTTATATGCAATATAAAGAGCCTAATGGTTTCGAATCAGGCTGCTAACCTCAAGGTCAGCAATTTACAACTATCAGTGGTTCCACGGAAGGAAGATGGGGCTTTCTGTTCCTATAAACACCTATGCAGGGTCACTATGAGAGGAAACTGATTCCACGGCACACAACCATCCAAATGCAAGACATCAGTGAAATTGTTTCTTAGGTAGCATGTACAAGAAAAAAAGGTTTCAACGGAATGAAATAGCTGTATTTTAACATCAGTTATGCAGAAGTGAGTTATAGAGGGTGGGAGAAGCAGAGGAGAAAAAAAAGCATCATCTAAGGACCATCAAGAGAGAGGCGCATGAGGAGTGTTAGTTACTTAACCAGAAAAGAGGTTAACAACAGAGATGGTGGCAGAAGCAATGGCCTATGAAATAATCTACAATGGACTTGGTATTTCAAAAGTTTGAGACGACTATGGAACCAACTCACTTTGGTAGAGCATAAATGTTTGGACATCTGCAAGCAAACTGTGACTGATATTCAAAGGAATGTAACAAAATTTTGTTTAAAAAAAAAAAATCATTATTGGTGATGACATGGATTCACCACTGCAGATACATTTCATTTACAAGTCTTCACTTCAAAAAAAAAAAAAAATGTTTCTTTTAAAGGAAAAACCTGATACTCTTAGTGGATAATGTTCAGTTTTTATATACAACAAATGGTATGAACAGTGGAATAAGGTCAAAATACGCAATGAAATTCTACTTTATCTCCATTATGATACACAGAACTTATCCATTCTGATGTAGAATTAGTACCTTTTAGTTTACTTACATTTATGTCTCTTTCATGTATTTCATCTACAATTACGTGACTGATTCCTCGAATACCAGCTTCAAGTTTTCTTAGGAGCACACCTTTGGGGGGAGGGAGGGGGAACACAATTAGAAATAAGTTTCTATACTTATTAGTCATTAGAGTAAGGGGTCAGTGGTTAAAAATCAATTCCTCCTTGGAAACCCTACATAGGATTGCTGTGAAATGGAACCAACTTGATGGCACTTAACACATTTGGGTGTCCTGTAGAAACCACCCTTGTTTCGTAGCTTGAAATTTTTACAAAAGCAAGATTGCAGATGTATCAGCATGAGATCTCCTATTAAAAAATATAACCTCTAGTAACTAAAGCTGATTATAATACAACACCATATATTTCATCAAACTAGTAAATTACCAAAAGTTCCACGTAAGAATTCTGAAACTGACTCCTGTGCTGTTATCAAATTCTCCCTATTAATAATAGACTGCAATCCCCAAATATAAGACCAAAATAAAACATTACTGACCCACAGTACAAAACATTATGCTGGCATGAGGGCGGGGAAGTATAGACTCAAATCGAACGCTGTAGCCACAGCTTTTTCCAGGTTCTTCTCCTCTCTCATATGCAACTCGCTCTGCCACAGATACTGCACTAATTCGCCTGGGCTGAGATTAACAAAACAAAACAAAAAAGTGACTTAAACTTACAAAATTAATATCATGAAATTAAATCTACCTGTTGAACTGCGAACTCAGTAATGAGTAATACAAGATTTGAAATCTTTAAGAAGCGGCAAAATTTTAAAAACTCAATTCTATAGCAAAGGATGAAAATTGCTAATTTGCATGTTGCAAAATATCCTGATTCCAGGGTTTCTACAATACTGTACAAATTACTCCACAGAACTTTTCACAAAGTAGTAGATGGGAGACAGCACATAAGTTTTCTTTGGTACTGCCTGTGACACTGAAAAGAGAGTTTAGAAATTTTACAAATCAAGAATGTGAATGATTTCCTTCTTTGCCTATCTATTATGACTGTACTTTCTTCACTATTGTAACTCATAATCAAGCTTTTTATTTTGTGCTTTAAGGTGACAGATAAAGTTGAGATAGTTGAGAGAAACCACCTACAAAGCCTTAAGGAGAATGTATTTTTCTAAACAGTAGAAATTGTTGTTATAGCTTAAGGTTAGTTTGAAGTGGCAGCTCTTGATGTTTTGGAACACATCATCTTCTACGTACACAAGATAATCTCTGCTTAGATGCCACTATGGTTTTGATGGTGTGCTAGCGTAGCAGTTTTTAAGTGCCCTGAGTTTTATTTTCAAAACATTCCTGCTGACAATTTTTAGTCCCCAGCTTGAAATAACTTTTCTAAGTTTCATTTATAGTTCGTACCTATATTCCAGAATGTAATGATTAATTTGAAAGCCAGACGGTATTAAAATCTTTTAAAATTCTAGTCCAGTAAATGTCTTAAGAGCTATTAGTAACCTTTGGATGCGGCTGGTCCATTTAAACTGTCAACCCTGTGTTTTATTTTAGTGTGACACACCAGGATTCCTTGCATGGAGTTCAGCCCAATAGCATCAAGATGCTTCAACTGATTGTATAGCCACACTTTTTGACATAATTTACAGTTACTGAAGCAGGGCTGCAGGTTAATGCGCTAGACTGCAAATTTGGCGGTTCATGTTCACCAGCCACTCCTCGGAATACGTAGATAAGATTGCTATGAGTCAGAATCAACCTGATCTGAGTAATCATTGAGAATGACTACCAGGTGGACCAAAGAATATGCATATTTAACTTGTAAGTTTGCACAACACTGGAGATTGAAGACCTATGTCACATTGCTCCTTACTATCTATAACTACATCTTTGTTGTATCCTTTGTTAGCATTTACCTAGAATCCTTTATTCTCTCAGAAATCTCTCAATTGGAAAAATACAGGTCTTAAAACTGCTACTGTATTTTTCATTTAAGGAGTCCTAGTAGCATACTGGTTACAAGTCAGGCTGCTAACCACAAGGCTTGTAGACCAAAACTATCAGCTACATCATAGGCGAGAGATGAGGCAATTTATAGCCTCAGAAACTCTATATAGTGTTGTTATGAGTTGGAACTGACTCCACGGTCTAACCCACCAACACCATTTTTCACCTGGATATTTAAACACATTTAACAGAACTTGACTGTAATAAAATACTGTTATGCATCAAGATTTCTAAGGCACCAGTCTCAGCTTTGTGGTTATGTAGGATCAGCACTAGCCTGATAACCACAAGATTACCAATTCAAACCCACCAGCTGCTCCTCGAAAACTCTAACAGGGTTTGTATAGAGTTGCTATACAACCCATTTAAACTAGGTACACAGAAAAAAGCTCTCTAGCACTCTCAAGACTCTATTCACAGTAGATACGACAAATAGTTGGATTGGTACTTACCTGAGTTACTACAATATTACACTCTGCCGCTCGGTCATTAAGGATAAAGTCATCTAAAATGAACTGGGGAACCTGTGTGGTTTTACCACATCCAGTAGCACCTCGAATAATGACAACTGAATTTTGACTAATTGCATCCAATATTTCGCTTTCAAATTTCTTCACAGGCAGTACTTCTCTTTCCTGTAAAATCTGTATTAGAAAAGTTATATTATCAGTCAAATTTCTACCAACAGGTTCATTAGAAAAAATAAAAATGTCTCTAGAACTTATTTCCTTCTACTAGCTTAATACAAAAAAAAAATTCTTCAGATTTCTAACAGATTACTTCAATACATTTCTCTTATAATCTTGTCCAGACCTCTTATGGCTCTTTTCTAATTGAACATTTCATATTCATTCCCTAACACTTCAATGTTGTATTTTATTTGGAAGACAATTAAATATCCCCATTCAAAACTGTTCACTGAGAGCTCAACCAGAAGGGAAAAAAAAAAGAGTAATCTGATACAATTTGATGAACTTGACCTACACCTATGGATGCAGGAGCTCAAAAGAGGGAACAAATCTTTACAGTAAGGCACCCTCCCTCCATAAACAGAGTAGACAGGAATGAGCAATTTGGACACTGGCCACCCAAAATGGGGAGGGGAGGTTTTGCTACAAAGGCAAGAAGTGACTGGCTTATAAGCTTTCCAGAGGGAACCTAGATCCAAAGGGCATGAAGGTAGAATCTTCACTGAGTAGTATCCAATCTGTCTAAATGGGGCTGATGAAATGAAATGTGGATGGGGGGTCTCTTGTGATACAATAGTGAATAATTATTATCAGGACTGATTCTGAGGGTTGGAAATGTAACAAAAGTCCCTAATTTACAATAACTTCCAGAAATAACCAGGACTGGCAGTTTTGACATATTTTTATCAATCTTCATAGAAAGTACAAATCATATTAATGGTCCTTTTTTGCCCCATGTACACAAATTTCTGAAGTTCCAAGTAGCGTATGTCTAAATATTTCACAAACTTACTCCTTGTAAATTGCGATCATGTTCCAGCTGGTACATTAATTCATTTTTGAGGTCCGTGCTTATTTGTTCTGGAGTAGCCTGTGAAAATGAGAAGGCAGATCAAACAAAAGCACTGACAACAGCTTCAGAAAAGATAAAAATTTCTTTACATAGACATACTAATGAAGTACATTTTACAGTAATACACTGTAATATGTTGTCAAAACAGCGATGTACTCACATAAGCCAGGGGGCCCTCATCTATGTTGCTACTAGTCCAAGGATTCCAGTTTGATTGCGGAGGAGACCAAGGAACCACGCCCATTTGGTTTTGTCGCTGTGATGGTTCAAACTGAGACAGTTTACCAAGGTTGATTATAACTGGTACCGAAGGATCCTCAGGCTATTTAAAAAACACACACACACACACACAAAAAAAAATATTATTAAGATCTGCTTCATGTAGATTAGAACAAGCAAGTTCTAATCACCAGAGAAGTTGCACAGAAAAACAAACTTAAAGTCATATGCTTACTGGTGGCACAATCTCAAGATTCAGCTCTTGAACAACATTTTGCAGTTGATGCTCCAGGTCTTGAGAGATATTAACTTTGTATGGTTCAACCTACAGAAAAAATTAGGATCATAATAAAATCATGTGACATATACAAAAGCACTACTCAAATTTACTATAATGGATTAAGAGCTAAAACTCCTAAAGCCAAGGAGTCAACTCGAGTCTGTTAACAACTATGTACTCATTGCCCACTATGAACAGAGTATGCCCAACAGATGATTAGTAAGGCCATTTCCCTACAAATACAAATTTCTTTAATGAAATCTATAAAAGCTAAATTGTTATTTGACATTGTACCATTGTGGTCTTAATTCTATCTATAGACTCACTGTCTCTCCTTCTTTCTTCTTGGTAAGTCCAGAATAAGCTTCAATCACTTCAAGATGGTAGAGTTGCCTAACAAGTGAAAGGGCACACGACTGTGCTGCCAGTTTCTTATTTGATCCATGTTCACGTGCAAAAATTCCTATAATGTAAGGTCAGAATTATCAGAGACTGAATGATAAATCTGAGTAATGAAACATCACAATCAATTAGGCGCTTTGGTATAAATGCCAACCCCCCCAGAAGTTCTAAGTTCCTTTTCAATTCATTTGCTCCTACAGATTTAATTACCTACTACTAGTAGTATTTCCGTTAAAAGTATCAGCACTAGACAAGCAAAAATAGAATTTAGTATGGAGTAGTGGAAATGCTGCTTTACCAAAACATAGAATGTGGAAATGTGTTAAAAACTGGGTAATGAGTAGACTATAAAGTTTTAAGGTGTCTAAATAGTCATAGTGTGACTCTGCAAGGTTAATGGTGCTGGACTGGCACAGCTGATTTGAAGCCTTAGTTCGGCGGTTCGAGTTCATCAGCCGCTCCTTGGATACCCTTATCCAGGATAGGGTAAGAAACAATCCTGGGACACTTAAAATCCTTGACTGTCTGGAAAGACTTGTTAGAACTACAGACATTAAAGAGAATTCTGATGAGTGCTATAAATTGAGGGGAGATAAAAAAAAAAGAGAAAATCTCTTCAAAGAACACGTAATTGTCAGCAGCAGAATGTTGCCAGAAATATGGGCATTGCATTTGTTTCTGATGAAGCTTTAAAAGAAAATGATGGGATATGTGATTGGACAATTAAGGAAAGGCACTACTTTTTATGAAGTGGCAAAAAACTGCCTTAATAAGTTTAACTTTTTAAGTGATTTCTAAGTGGCTACATGGTTTCTCCTGCCATTTATAGTAAAACAATAGAGATGGGCTCAAAATAAACTGCGTAATAGATTTAGATATTTTTGCTGTGCAAACTAAGGATAACTGACATAGCTACATAATCTTTATTGACTGATGGATCTACCAACCACAGGAGAAAAACCCAGAAAACAAAAGTAAAGAAGAGGGGCCTCTTGAAATTCTTTATCTAGGAAAATTCTATAGGACAAAGGAGTTACATCTGTTGTCCCAGGAGCAGCTCAGAGATCAGCATTAACTGCTAGGATTAAGGGAAGCAGGGCTTCATTTGCTTAAAAAAGGTAGAATCATGACCTCATGTTTATGAGTTACACATCCTAATCAGCTCACTCTCTTGCAGGTTATTGGGCTGTCATTAATGTGTCTCAGGTTAGAGACAGCACCCAAATATGAGGAAGTGGACTCCTATTGTGACACTGTATAAAAGCACTAGTCTGCAAACCACAAGTTGAGCTGTTTAAACTCATTAGCTGCTCCCTTGGGACCGCTATACAGCAGAAGTGAGGAATGTCTGGCCTAGGGATGTCATTTTGTCTGGCCCTGTGAAGGCAACAGCTTTCCCTGTCATGCAAATATAGCAGGCTAATGTTTTTGGTAATTTTGTATGGCCTTTGATAGAAAAGAATGTTCCCGACCCCTACTATACAGGTGAGTCAGACTCAATCTTCTGTTTCCCTCCAGTTTTTCCCTGTTTCAAGGCTTATTCAACCATTGTGGTTTGAAAACATTGTGGTTTAACTTGAATTCTAGACTTCACAAGTCAACTTAAGCACAATGATCCTGATGATTAGATCAATGGGCTGTTATCACCTGACCCCTAAAACTTACCACCCACTCAAAAGTTCCAAGTTTTAGAGTGAATCACAAAAATTAAACAGTATCTCCCTGTGGACCATTCAAACATTTGGCTGAGTATCTTTCATATTCGAAATGTAGAAAAATACATCTAAGTTGCAGAATTCTCAACTTGCCTGCCCTAAGTTTTACTAGGTAAAAATGCATATACCACGTTACTTTACAAATTTCATTTATCAGCTTAAAATTCTAATCCTATCTTCGCATTTACTCCTAAAAGTCAACTTGCTAATTTACTTTTTAAAAATTCCTCATTTAGTTTTACCTGAACAATTTTTGTGTAGAAATGAAAAAACTGTTTTGAAGTTCTTTGAGACTGACAATTGTTAAGTACCGTAGAGTTGGTTCTGACTCAGTGACCCTGTATAGGGTTTCTGAGGCTATCAATCTTTACAGGAGCATAAAGCCTCATCTTTCTCCAGTGGAACAGCTGGTAGTTTCGAACCGCACACCTTGCAGCCCTATGCTACCAGAGCTCCTTTAATACTACCGTACTGTCAGCACGACAGTTCCAATTTATATAGTTAGCCTGTATTGGGTTTTCAAGGATCAGTTTCTGAGTATGAACCACCAATCTTATGGTTCAAATTGACCTTGTTTGTGGTCCAGTACTTATCCTCCAAGCACCACGCTGTTGTTAAGTGCTGTCAAGTCAGTTCCAACTCAGTGACCCTGTATAAGGTGTTTCCTAGGAAGGAGCAGCTGGTGAACTTGAATCGTCAACCTTGTGGTTCATACCGAACTTGCTGTCCAATACTTTAACCCACAGTGCCACATCAGGACTCCAGCACACTAGGATTCCTTTAAAATACTACATAAACATAAACTCTCTTTATTCATGGGCAAATTTGAGGCTAGGTCTTCTTAATTCATAGTCATTCTAAATGCTACCAAAACCATGCTTCTTTTCAATTCGTAAGCTCTTTTCAAGTGAGGGGACTTTTAAAAAGCTTGTGGGAAAATATCTTTTCATTCCATTTTACACACATTTATTAAATGCCTCTCATGCGTACAGGTAGCCAAAAAGGCTTTAATGTGAACACTAAGGACACACCAGAGGAAAAAACAATACTTACTTCTTCCCAGCTGCTTGATATAAATGGTCATTTCTGCAATAAAGCTCCTGTAACAACATATACAAACAAGGTTAGAAATTTTACTCTTACAAACTTCTTAGTTCAGGATTTCCAAATCAGGCAGGCTTTCCAACTGCTAAGACAAATCACAGCAAAACCACTATAAACATTTATTCCTATTCAATCTTAGAATAAATGAAGTACATAAACTTAAAAACACAGCTTGAGACAAAGTTATCAAAGCTGATAAGCCAAATTGTTCTTGAAATGTTTGTATTTTGGACTTTATCATAAAATTTTGGAAATTTCCTATATTGGGGCAATAAAATAGGTCCCCAACTCTTCAAATTATAGTTAACAATTGTCATCTGTTAGCTAAGTGAAATATATGCATTCATACACAAACACTTTGTGTGTGGTAACAGTGGTTATTACTGAGGCAGGTTTTGGGATGTGCCTGCAGTTGGAAGCAGCCCTTGATAACACAAAATTCAACCTATCATTATCACATTTACTTAAACCAGGTCCTGGAGAACAAAACACATTTATGAAAATTATATCTAAAACTGCTAGAAGATTCTAGGGAATAAATTTAGGCTTTAGCAAGGGAAAAACTGACTTCCAAAAACTACGCATTCTGGTCCTTCCACTGCTCAGGTACATTCTAACCTTGTCTTTGTGCTGTGAATAAAAGGTTAGATGAGGCTTAAAAAGAAAAAAATGTTAGGCTCCTTCCTATACCTCGTGAACTGACCTTTAGGCACAGCGGCTTCAGGGGTCAAAGGCCACTGGCTTTCAGGGGAACAACATCCACCCTTTCATTAATGACACCGATGCCAGTATGTTTCTCAGCCAGGCTTAAAGTCAGCACTCAATCTCATTCTCCTCCACCTAGGGGGAACAGCGACACCAGAAATCAGTTTACAATAGTTTCCCATGTGATTGCTTAGTTCAGCCTAAGCAGCAGCACATGTGTGTATGAACACAGACCTCTGGTGTTGCTGTCTTTTATGCCTTTAAATAAAGGACATACAAGGAGCAGTGCTGTCTTAGCTTGCCAATGGAACCCACAACTGTCTTTGCCACCTTCATTGTCATATCCTGAATTCTTTATCATTGATTGTTTGTATCAGAATTTTTTGTATCAGTTAAGACACTGATACCAAAAAATGTTTGCAACAATGAGTCTCAGGCACTTAGGTATATTACTATTCTTAAAAGTCACCAAGTGCTAAGCTCCAATCAGTATGACACAACAAAGTATTAACAGAAAACAAATCAGCAAATTCACCCTTCCTCTGAGGGTTTTTTTTTTTTTTTAATCTTCTGACACTTCACAAAATATTTGAGAATTCGGGATTGAACAAATAAGTGGGAAGCAGCAGAGGGAACCATGCTTTGAGCAGTCTTTGTGACCAATGTCAATGTTTGGTATCAGTATCAATTATTTTAGGATTGCAAGGGATAACATTTTGATTTTCAAGAACGAATTTTTTATAGTTTTGAATAATTTCTTATAATTAAAGACAGCAAATTTAATGATCTGGAAGATTTCCATGACACCCCCCCTCGTCCAATAAAAATATAGTGCCCACCATTACAGTCTAATCTACACGAGCCTTCCTGGGAGTAATAATCACTACACCCTGGAATGCTCTCAGGAAGAACAGCAAGCAGGCTGAGAAACATACTGTCACTGTTACAACCACCTCCTCCCTTTATGTCAGTTTCATAAACATAACAAACACACATGCTAATTGAATCCACACAGAAAGACTGAAGCTATTCTTTTTCAGCTTTACATTAAGTCCTTCAACAGGACTTCTTAAGAGAGCTTACAATTTTCAAAGCTAAAGTGAGATTTGGATGCAATCCAAACTACTTCTGAGACTAAAACTTAAGGGTTTAACCAAACCCATTAAAGAAATCATACAGCTGCCTCTAATATCACACTGAACAAATCACCACCACTGGCTGGTTTTTAAGTCAATTAGGGACAAACTACCACTAATCAAATGAGAACCTTAAAAGCATAGCAACACAGAATTCTGCACAAAGATAAGCTTCTTTAACAGCTAAATCACACTTCTCAAGTGAAAACCACAATAAATCTCACATTACAAACCGATGACAATCCTTGAGCAAAAAAATCCAACTTCTTTCCAACAACTCTCTACTACTCCACAAACTGAATTAATCAGCAAGAATACAGGTATAGGACACATTCAACAAAATACCCAATATATCCCCAACTTACTAAAGAAAGAAAAGAGCGAAACACGCAAACCTGTTGTGATCCGGACCCACTTGGGTGTACTTATATTCTCCTTGGATCTTTTCTTTTTGGAAATATTGGTTCAGACGAGCCTTAGCATTTTCCAATGTCCAGTTTCCATGAAGACCAGCATTTAAATCCACTTCTTCTGATTCTAGAGTCTAATGAATCAATGATAATTAGATTGAGCTAATTTTACTTTAGCTATACATACTTAAGCTTTAAAAGTGTTAAAGACTTCGTTATCCTTCATATTGCAAAATCTAAGTTTCTAGTCCTGTTAAGATCAGCACTAGATTGTGAGCCATGAAGTGTATAGTTCAAATCAAACAGCTGCTTCTTGGAAATCCTATAGTGAGTTGCTATGAGTTGGAACCCACGAAATAAACAAATCCTAGTCAAAATTGAACAAGAATTGTTTCTCGCTGCATCTGAAGGCCGAATCCTAAAACAAGCTACCAGTAAATGTCCTGAATTTAAAATTTTAAGAAATCCCTGACCTATTTATTTTTGAAGGGATTTTTAAAAATCTTAGATTTAAAGAGCTTATGGTTGGACCATGTGGACAAGTAGCCTCAAATAATTACTTTACAAAAATCTCCAAATAATCAACCTGTGAACATCCTAAACCTTACTGTGAAGTACCAAGTAATATCCTGAGATGTAATAACAAAGCAGGAGCCTTACCGCTTGGGCTTCTTGTTCCTCTTTCTTTGAGTAGTAATCTTTCAAGTTGGCTCCCCGATCCCAGGTGGGCCCAGGAACACCATAGCCGGAGGCACCAACTCCAGAATTATTTTCTGTAAACAAAGATTATTTATTACTTAATGAGTTAAACTACTAAAAACCAAATCCTAAATATTTAAAGAGAGGTCCTATTTTGGTTTGGTACTCTCCATGATTGAAAATTCAATGGAGAGGACCCCAAATTATCCAAGATATACCTGTAAAAAATTAAGTCTGATATATGTACCATCCCAAGGTAGGTATGGCAAGAGTTACTTCACTAGTCAATGACTTTAAGTGACAAACACCCAGCACACAGGTCAGTGTAGCTTTGTTCTCAATCTGTTTACTAGACAGGAGTCCTGGTGTGGTGCTATGAGTTAATGTGCCAGACTGCAAAGCTATTTGAACTGCAAGATTGGTAGTTCATGCTCACCAGCTGCTCCTCGGAAACCCTATAAACGGTGGCTGTGGGTTGGAACCTACTCGATGGTACTGAACAACAACTAGTTGAGAAAACTGTTTGCTAAATATGGCTCTAAAAGCAAAGCTAATATAGTGTTGGTGATGAAAAGAGAAGCAAGCCCATACGGAAGTGATGAATCTTGATGAAAAAGCAAGTTAACTTTTTAGTAGCTAAACATTAACTAAATATTGACTCTATTAGACACATGTTTTTCCCTTTACTCCTCAAAACAATTTTGAGGTAGACATTACTGTTATTCCCAATTCATAAATACTGTATTAGATATTTAAGTAATTCAACCAATGTCCTATCTAAATCTATCCTATAGTGGACATCCCAGTATTAAGTTTTGACTATATTTAAGAGTAAGCCATAGAATTCAGCAATGATTTGGATTCAAAAGGTCAACAAGTCTGTATTTAGTAAAAAGTGGATTCAAAAGGTCAACAAGTCTGTATTTAGTAAAAAGTTAAAAACAAAGGCAATTCAAAAAATCCTTTCATCAAAAGTTCTAGCCTGTGAGTAATCTATTCAGATTAAAATTTAGCAAAAGTCAGTAGTAGTAAAGAATTATCCTACATCACACTATATTAAAAATGAAATGATCTGGTGGTATGTGCTATCTTATTGAGACCTTGGCTTGTCTCTCTTAACATCAAAAGTTTCCTGTCATTATTTCTAACCAGGGAGAAAGGATGAAAGAAAGGTACGATCAACCAAGACCCTGATGTATTTTATTCTCAAAGTCATGTCTCTTACCTGTAGAAGACTTGAGGGCCAGATGAGGAGGAAGAGGTCCTCCCAGGGCAGTGGGCAAACTTCCATCAGTACTTGCTGTGCCATCAGAAGAATCAGCAGTGACCGAAGGTATAGGGGGTGCTAGCTACAAAAGAAAAAGTCAAGGAAATGTCAATACTAGTCATGAGGACTAGCAATTTTTTACTACCTAAAGCAATTTATGTTAACACCTACTTTGTTTGTAGTGATTATCAAATTATTAAAGTCTCATTTAAGGCACACAAAAAAACACTAATCGTCATCTCTTCACACACACATCAGCTTACTTAGGACATGTCATCAAGATAATCACTGGAAAAGGACCCATCTACACCAAAGGATCCTTTGGTACAGGGTCAGCAAATTATCAAGGGACATGCAGAAGAAGGTGGAATCCCTACCTTTACTTTTAAAAGTAAATTGTCTAGACAGGAGATAGCTAGGTCTGGTGAAAGGAGATGGGGATAAGTTTCTTTTGATTCAACAATGAATAATTGTTATCATGACTAATTGCTGACTGTCATGACTGTAAAGGTACAGGCTATGTAACAAAAATGAGAGTATTTAATCTTTTAGTCCAGGAACAGAGGACCCTAGGACCATCAAGGGAGAAGAGCATGAGTGGAATGTGTGACCCTATCCAGAGAAGTGACATCAGAGGTAGAAAGAAGTAGAGACGGCCAGGAGGCAAGCTTGCAGAATTTCCCCTTTGGATGTTTAAAAGATTATTTCTTTCTAATGTTTTGTGTATTACCACAAAAACAAAAAAAGAGAGAATAGAAGCAATTATTATTGAATGGTTATACAGAGATTATATCATTGCAATGAAATGAGTATAAAACTTATGTTCTCCCATGTAAAAACTATCATTCAATTCATAATAAAACTTAATAAAAAAATACAGTATTCCAAATGAATCAATTCTATTAACAGAGTAGTGTTTTATGCTAATGAATATTTGGCCTTGTATGACTACTATGTCATAGTTATAGAATACAATGGATGGTATTGTTTTGAAGATGTCATCATTATTAATGAAAGCATCAATGGCTGTTAATTATAGAGAATTAGTATTTTCCTGCTGTAATGGTAAAGAGTATTCTAAATAGTACCTCATGTAATCCTTTAATCAAAAAATATCCCATGATAGAATGAACTATCAGATACTCTTCATCACAAATAGTAACCACTAGTGACTCACCCTCATTTTGGCTTTCTGTTTCATTTATCTTTTCCCCCAATAAATTAGTAGTACATAAAACAATCAAGGGACACCCTCAATGAAATGGGTAGACACAATGATACAATTGGCTCAAAACAGACCAGCGACTATGGAGATGGCACTGGGCCAGGCAATGTTTCATTCTGTTATATACAAGGTCATCATCAGAAGTCAGAGGTTGACAGCAACTACTAACAGCAATTATGTGTATAGTGCAAACAATCTTTTATATTTGTGGGATATCTTTATTAAATTCTATAGAGGGTCGTGATGAGTCAGAATCCATTTGTGGCAGTGTACAAGTTCTACTTGATAGACATTGCTTCTGGGTGCTGGGATATAGTAGTTAAAACTGAAGTTCTGTCCTCAAAGAACTAGCTCTAATGAGAAGTGCTAGTAAGTCCTGGTGTGGTGCAGTGGGTTAATGTACTGGCCTGCAAAGTCAGTTGGACCACAAGCTAGGGGTTCATGTTCAACAGCCACTCCTTGGCAACCCCATACAGAGTGCTATCAACTAACTCCATAGTACTTAACATTATATAGTGATTACGAATACTACAAAGAAACATACGTGAAGAAAAGAAAAACAGCTGTGAGAGAGAACAAAGTGCCATACTGCACCACAGAATGATTGTTACCTTACATTCTCACCAGCACTATGAGGATATATTTTCCCCTACCTTTTGTTTTAATGAGAATTATGCATTTTTACCAATCTTACACTGTTTACATAAACTTTTTGTTTTGATTTACATTTATTCTGCTCATTGTTCTACCTGGATGTTCACTGTCCTGATTAATTTCTAAGATTTTTAAAAACTTTCGCACAAGTACTTCTTCTCTTATGCCGATCTATAGTTTATTCCTTAAGATGGTCTTTCCTATCCTAGGAAGTTTTGCACAATTTTTTTTACTTTGGCGCCAGTACCATTCAAATATAGTCATTGTACTACTAAAATAATACAAGTGTTTATTAATAAGGCACATAGATGTTAACATTTCTTTGAAGCTTCAAATTATTAGGTATTCTTTTGATAATTTTCCTAATATTTTGTCTAACTTCTCAAATCCCTTGTTAAATTTATAATTACTCAGAGAACTTATTTCTCTATAAGGAAATGATACTTTTCTTAAAATAATGAAATCTCCCCCGTAGAACACTGTAACCAAACCTCTACCTGCTGAAGCAATTCTGGGTGGTGCCTTTTATATATCTGCTAGTCTTAACCTAGATATAAGCTGCCCTGGGAGCACAGTAGATAAGAGCCTAGCTGCTAATCAAAGGATTATAGACTCAAATCCTCTAGTTGCTCTGCAGGACAAAGATGTGGCAATCTGCTTGCATAAAGATTATAGCCTAAGAAACCATATGGGGCAGTAGGAATCAACTAAAAGGATTTAGCTTTGGTTTTCTGAAGTTCCAGTGTGTCACTGTAGGATAAACCCTGCTAATCACAAGGTCGGAGGTTCAACCCACCAGTTGTTCCTCTGACACCTCCAGTACATTGCAACTCATAGGGAGGGGTCCCTATGGCGTTTCTGAGTGGCTGGTAGATTTGAACTACTGACCTTGCGATCCAGTGTATTCTGCAATACTACACCAGAACTCTCAGACACCTCATACAGGGGTGGTTCCTCTACAGGGTTCCTACAAGTCAGAATTGACTTGATGAAACTAGTAACACATAGCGATAATGTCCTCAAAGGCAAAAGGGAATTATGTTTCCTGACCAGGATATGAAAAACGCCTGTACTGAGACAAAGCTTTTAAGAATGGGATTTCTTATTGTGGAGTATTTCAATTTATGGAATACAGACTTTCTGGAAATACTGATTGCTGAATGGACCCCTGAAGCTCTTTGAGATAATCTTTAAGCTTCAAATTCAAATTTTCCCTGTAATGCTGAGATGCTTTCTGGCTATCTGTTTTCATCTGTCTGCAGACCTTAATGAGTCACCACTATTAAGGATGATCAGCAGAGTCCAGTGCAATTCACTGACATTGTGGAAACCAATGAAGATAATAGCAAGGATGGATGTGGAGTTGACAGCTAAAGAAAGAAATCTGCTTATCAGCTGCATATAAAATCCTGATTGAAGCTAGGAAAAGAGCCTCCTGGAGAATCAGCAGCAGCACTGAACAGAGAGAAAGAACACAAACTAAAATGATTGGGAATATGGACAAATGGTTGAGAACTAAACTAATGTTAATCTACTGTAACAATCTAGATGCACTGGACAAATACCTTACTCAGAAAAACTTCTTATTCCAGCAATTTTAACACACAACTCCATTATAAAATGATAATAGAGTATCATTTTATCCAACAAGATTTGCCACAGGAATGGAAAGCAAGTAGGCTGTCAATAGTCTGTTAATTGCCAATGAATTCTTTCTAATCCATAGTGATCCTGTATCGGTTTTACAAGGAGCAGTTGGTGGGTTTGATCAGCTAACTTTATGGTTAAGCTGTTGCTAAGTGCTGTTGATCTGCTGATCATACGAATAATGCTTATCCTATAGCACACCACACGAGATCCCTGGTGTGGCACCGTGTGAACCACAGGGTCAGTGGTCAAGTTCACCAGCTGCTCCTTGGAAGCCCTGACAGGGTCACTATGTGTCTGAACCAACTCAACGGCACTTAACACAGCATCATATCAGGACTCCTTGTGGTCAGTAGTGCAGTGGTAAAAAATTTAGAACAAGACCTACCTAAGCGAATAGGATGTGTTGGTAGTCCAGTGCTTACCCTATATACCACCACACCAGGGCTCCTTAGCAATCCTTTACAGGATTTCCAAAGAGCTGTTGGTGGATTTGAACCACTGACCTTGTAGTTCCCAGTCCAGTGCTAATCCTAGAGCACCAAACCAGGAGTCCACTGCTACTATATACTGTCCAATCAACTTTGGGTAACAGTGACCACACGTGATATAACTGTCCTATATATGCTTTTGCAGACTGTAAACTACACAAAGTGAACATCAGGTATTTTTCCCAGGGAGCTGCTGGTAGGTCAACTATCTAGAGTGGCTTACAAAGCTGCTAATATATTGTAATGATTGACATATCGCATCTTAAATTTTTCAGTTTTCTATGAAATTCTTAATTTGCCTGACCATGTCTGCAGGTTGGCAAAAATAGCTTTGATGATACAATTGCGGACACTAAGTTCAGATGACATGAAAAGGACAGGTAAGAAAAAACGGAAACACTGGAAAGGGAATGAATGCTACTACATTGTGGGAAAAGCAACTAACAGCATGAAACAAAATGTGTATCAATTGTTTGTTGTTCAAATTTCTGGCTAACTCTTGAATCACTGTGATTCGAGAGGCCAAAACTGGCTGACAAAGGATAACTGTTTTTAAATGCAAGCAAGTGTGTTCTAACTCATAGAATCGAGATATGGTTTCCAAGGAGCAGCTGCAGGGTTTGAACCACTGACCTTGCAGTTATTCCAGTGCTTATCACACAGTGCTACATCAGGTCTCCATAACAAAGGATTAGAGAAATGAAATTTGAACTGACAGTACTTATAATTTAATTCCAATCATAATTGCCTGAGACAGCAACAACAAAATCTGTTATTTTTTGGTGTAACAGAACACTATTTAATGAGCTATCACAATGTACAGGACATAATTCAAAATTACTTGACAAAGAAAAATGTGATCCAATCATAAGAGAAAAATATAATCAACAATGACCAATTCTGATATGACACATGTATCAAAATTAGTAGAAACTTTTAAAACTATTAGAAATATGCTCAAGATAAAGGAAATTTATATTTACACTAACAGGCTTTCACATGCATATAGATAGGAAATGTCAGCAAAGAAATAATCCATATGAAAGAGTAACCTGGGTTTTCTTTCTGAATGAGCTGATTTAAAAAAAAGAAGCAATGGTGCCAGGTATGGAGTCCCAGTATGGTACTGTGGAATGAAGAACTGGGCCACAATGTCATCAGTCGCTTCTTAGAAACCACAACAGTAACAGAAGTTTGTGGTTTTCTGAGGTTTGGTTTATACTTGTGTTTTTTTTTTTGTTTTTTTTTTTAATGAAATGTGCCAAATGTCTCTATAATTAAGTTCAGATGGCTGCAAAACCTGGAAAAGTTGCTGCTGTTGATGCATTGTAACACTGTGACTGGTCTTCTTATGAGAGCATACACACACACAAATAATCTGAATTTCTGGTAACTAGCTGTTTTGTCAACTATGGAACAAGTATTGCAGTTGGACCATGTTGAGCTGGCATTGCACAGAAATTAACTTAAATTTTAATTTTCCCCCCATTAACACAATGCATTAAATATGTTAGGTCTTAACTACATGGGAAAGTAATATTCTCTAAATAATTGGCGGTGGGGGGTTAGCTGGGAATTTGAAAAACGAAGTATCTGAAATAAAAATTTGCCACTCAGTATAATATAATAAACAGAAAAGAGTCAGTGAACTTGAAGAGTAATGTCAAATTGCCAAATTGATTTTGATTTATAGACTCCATGACAGGGTAGAGTTGTCCCACCTAGGCTGTAATTTTTATAGGAGCAGGTCAACAGGTTTTTCCCCAGTGTGGTTGGATGGATTAGAACCACAACCTTTTGATTAGCTCCTTAAATTTACAGAAATTATTAAATTGAAAGCACAGGAAAGAAATGTAAATAAAGAAAACCTCAGGGACCTGTGGGGTTCTAACAGAAAAACATACCGGTACATTGTAATGTGAGTTTCAGAAGGGAAAAGAAAAATAATTAAAGAATTACCAAATTTACTAAAGTTTTGGTTATTGTTTTAAAATTATTTAATGTATTCAAGAATCTCAGAAAACGCAAAGCAAGATAAAGAGAAACCATTCCCAGTCACACTGTAGTCAAATTGCTGAAAATCAAAGATGGAATTTAAAAAATCTTAATGGTAACCTGAGAAAACGTGCATGAGGGGAACCGTAATTCAAATATCGCGGACGTTCATTAGAAACAATGGGAACGAAACAACAGAACAATAACTTTAAACTATTTTTTTAAAAAGGTAAAATCCCAAAAGCCCCTAATTCAGTATCCTGTGAAAATATCCCTTAAGGAAAGTTAAATGAAAACTTTTAAGCTTCAAATATTTTTAAAGATTATTTGCAACACTCTTCTCAAAGCCAGAAAAAAATCTTAGAAGTTCATCTTGTCCAGTCCATTTTATAGATGAGCAAACCAAAGGAATTTATTTGTAAAATGCAATTTAGAATTTAAAACTATCTATGGGATCTAAATTACAACATCAATCTTTCTATGACAACAATCTTGTATGAAAATAAAGGTTATTTCTTAAACACAGAAATAGATCTTTGTTGATTTATACTTTATATAATTAAGCCTATCCTGGTATCAAAATCCATTTTAGTTCACTGAATGAAATACTTACTGTTAAGTGCCAAGGAAAGCAAAAATTGTGTCTAAATTATTATTGGTTTTTACTCTTAAGTTTAATTTTATCTTTAAGGATCCATGGAGCACACACTAAAGATTCTGCAAAATCTGGTATACAACTGAGTGAAATAAAATTATAAAAACACAATAGGAATGATTCTACATCTTCAGAAACTTATTTCAGTACTCTGAGAAAACAAGTTGATCTGGGTCTCCACTACGTATGGGGTTAACCTAACCTTAAAACAGACAACTTGCAAGCTTTGAGGAAGTACTTACCCCAACAGCTGGGACTTCTTCACTCTTTACTTCATTTACTCGAACCAAATAGTTAACGAAGTCTCTGGCAGCATTGCTCTGTGCATCTTTTTTATTGGTGGAATTGCCCATGCCAGTGTAATTAAATCCTTCAACCCGAACCTTTTGGGGGGGGGGAAGAATTAAAATTAAGATTTATGACCTACATAGTTCTTGAATTTTTAAATCCCTAATTCTGTAGTCTATTAAAGGGGGAGGAGCCTATCAAAAGTTAGTCAATAGTTAACTGGTGGAGTCTATACTAATAATATCAAGAGAATTCATTCATGTAAGAAAGGCTGAACTATGTTGTCTATTAAGTAACCAACTCAAATTACATAGACCAAGTACTAAGGGAGCTAAGGAGAAATGGGGCTATAATTAGAATGATTTACTTATCAGATTGAATAATAAGGATAGAATAGGGAACAATTCATAATAAAGCTATTCTTCCCTAACCTGTAACATTTCCAAACAGAAAACATTCTTTTAACCCCACATGAGCCTAGTAAGTCACATAAATGTAAACTGCAGTCTTTAGTACCTCACACATAAATTTCTGCCTGTTTTTGTTCCCCACTGCTCTGATTTCATAGGCTGGGGCTATCTTCCTTTTGCCACACCAGGCATACAGAAAATTTTTAACGTCACCCATGATTCAAGTTCTTCAGACCTTTAAAACAAAACACAAAAACAGACATTATTTATAACAGCAGAAACTAAAAATTACAAGTAACTAGTTCAAATACAGAATATTGTATCATCCAACTATTAAAACCGCCTTTGAGGAACTTTTAATGACTTTACTGAAAAGTTTTTGACATTTTACAAGAAACAGCGTAAAACAGTATAATTTTAACTACATAAAATGCATGTATTCCTAAATCAAGTCTGAAAACATTTTACAAAATGTCTGCCTTTCTTTGGGTGACTGAATGATTTGCATCTTTAATATACTTTTGTAATGTCCTATTTTTTACAAGCAGCATTGTTGTTTAAACCATCAAGCTCCATAACAAAAGTAGATACAGGAGATATTACATGCGGTGGTTGTCGTTAAGTGCTGTCAGTCAATTGCGACCCATAGCGAAGCTGTATATAGTTTCTGAGGAGCAGCTGGTGAGCTTGAACCACAGACCTTGCAGTTCAAAGGACTTTGCAGTCTGACACATTAGCCCACATCATCACAATTGCTTTTAAACAGAGAAAGGAAGCAGGACTTCAAAGTCTACCAACTTTCCCAAGTCACGCATTTGTGAAGTCCTAAATTCAAACTCAAAACACTATATTATTTGGGGCGGGGGGGGGCCAAAACAAATTGGTCAGTTATCACTCTAATGATTGTTGTTGTTAAGTGCTGTCTAGTCGTTTCCAACCCATAGCAACCCTGTACATGGTTTTCGAGGCGGTAAATCTTTACCGGAGCAGAAAGCTTCATCTTTCTCCGGCAGAGCGGCTGGAAGTTTCTAACTGCTTACCTTAAAATTCACAGCCCGATTCTTCACCACTATGCTATCAGAGCTCCAAACACAGTTAAAATAATTACTACAGCATTAGAAGAGCTAACTGAAGGACTCTTTTGTTCCCCTACTTTATAGGTTTTCCTACTTTTCCAAAAGTGCACGTAATGTAAGGACACTGGAGAAGAGATGAATCTTGTAATTTCCCCTTGAATACTTGCTATTATTTTGTTAAGTGCTAGAGTCAATTCTGACTTGGTGCCACTGTATAAGGTGGGTTTCCAAGGAGCAGCCAGATGAGTCTGAACCTTTGATCTTAAACTGACCTTGTGGCCCAGTGCTTTATCCTTTGTTAAGTGCTATGAGTCTACTCATAGGGACCACATTTAGAGTTTCCAAGCAGGTGAGCTTAAAACCTTAAACCTTCGACCTTGTGCATTAACCCATAGTGCCACATCAAGGACTCCAGGACTCCTTTAAACCTTGGTATTACTAACTCGTTAAGACTTTAGGGGCAAAAAAAAAAAAAACTAGAGGCAAATTTTTTTGAAGTTTATCCTAGTGGGGGCGCTGGAGGATAAGCACTGGACTGCTAGTCACCAGGTCATCCATAGGAGTAAAAACCAACTTGAAAGCAGTTAACATCCTGAAGCAAGATACTTTAACAAGCATCATACTTAATTAATGGCCCTCCCCCAGAGGATTATTGAAGCCAATAGACAAAGGAGTCTAAATCTAAAATTATTAAGTATATATCTGGCAGTGTTTCCTTCTGCTGTGCATAAGGTTGCTATGGGTCGGCACAGACTCAAATGGCACCTAACAACAACGATTACAAGAAAATATGTTTCTTGTGCTAACACATCTTAAGAGAATTCATGTAAAACTGCTTGGATTATGTTGTCCATTAATAAAGTAACCAAAAAATAAGACTTAACTTATAGGACTCAGTACTAAGGAAGCTACAGTGAACTAGGGCTGTAAATTATAACTATTTACTAATTAATTAGTACCATCTGCTGGGTTTGAACCCCGCCCTTGCTGTTAGCAGTTCATGCTTATCCTACAATGCCACAGAGAAAATAAAAAAGGTCAATCGTTTCATGAATGGTTACCCTAGTCAAAGAAAAGCTGTGGAAAGCTGAAAAAAAAAAAAAGTTCAGCTGCACATTACAAAAAAAAAACAAAAAACAAAAAACCCAAGCCCCTACAGTACTGGGTAAGGAGCCCTGTTGTTACGTGCCATCGAGTCGGTATCGACTCAGAGCGACCGTATGTACAACAGAACGAATCGCTGCCCGGTCCTGGACCTCACAATTGTAGACACGCTTGAGCCCTGTTAGCCTAGTGAGTAACACAAAGATCAGCAGTTCGAATCGATCAGCCACTCCGCGGGCAAAAGATGAGGCTTTCTACTTCCCTAAAGATTTATGGCCTCGGAAACCCTATGCAGGGTCACTATGAGTCGGAACCGATTGGATGGCACACAACCACCACCACCATAGTAGTACTAGGTAACATAAAATACAGTCAAATTCTTTTCTCAAACCCCAAATATTCTATACCAACTAACTATAAGCTAATGATGATCAAACGTTTACTGAATGCTCAGTCCTTTCTCTTTACACTGCAAAATCATGGTTTATTCAACTGCATTACCCATTCGATTGTCTACTTGGCAACGTCAAGAAAAATGTTTCAAAATTTCTCCCCAAGCTGTTTTCCCTTCCCATTTCCAAAGAGCATCAGTATCCATGTACTCATTAACAATGTGGGAGTCGGGAGTCATCCACTTTCTCAAGATCCTCCCCGTAGCAGTAGGACTTTGTACAGTCCTTCTGCCTGTGCATCCTCCTAGGGCATTTACTTCATCCTTACAACTCTACAGACCAGTAGTCTCTCTCCTGCACAAATGAGAGCACTTAAACATCGACTAACTTGTCTCAGCGGACAGAATTCCTTATTAGAGGCCAGAATTCCACGCCAGGCTGGTAGTCTGACTCCTAGTCTACCCGCCACCACTCGGCAGTTCAGCATCCAAAATGTCTCCTTCACAACAGACTACGCGGAGCCCAGCAGTAATAATGGTCTAAATGGTTTCCCGTTTCCGCTGTTGCTACCTAAATCTCTTCTTCCCCATGCTCGCCACACTCCAGTCACAAGGCCTTGCAGTTCTTTTCCCACCTCCGGATTTAAACGCTAAGTAATCCCTTCAAGCCCTGCGGCTCGCCTTTTTCTCCGCATCCTCATGACGCATTGTCGGCCGGGAGCGAGAACCTAAAATGCCGACCTCCCCCTCAGAGATGCCTTTTCTCGTTCTCTCAAGAAGCTCTCGGGCCTTTGAACGCTACACCTCCCCCTTTTTAAAAAAAACAAAATCCTGCAAATATTTTTTTTATTTCTCAATTGTTTGACCGTAATCTCTCGAAGGAAGGACAAGGACTGTGTCTAACTTGCTTATTGCTTCATACGAGGGCCTGTATGGGAGTTATTGGGGGCCTCAATGAATGGCGCGAGGCGCTGCAATGGCGTCTCCGCGGGCTAACAACTTAAGACAAAGCACCTCGCTTTCACTTCGCGCCAATAGCGCCACCACCGACCTGCGAAGGCACGAGGAGGAAGTGGGGGTTTTGCGCTTTGGAGAATGGAGGGAGAGCTGGGCGGAAAACTAGGGGCCACAAGGCGGCCCCGGGCGGCGCAAGCGCACTTCAGCGAGCCGCGCACACAATCCGCAATCCTGGAGCTCGTAGGGCCGTTCGTCCCTGCCCCCACCCGCGACTGCCGCCGCCCGCGCTACGCAACAAAGGCTGGCTGCAGTGCCGCAGGGCCTCACACCACGCACACCACAGACTAGGAAGGGCAAGAAGAGAATCCTTACCTTGCCGGTCTACACTTTCTGGTGCCCGAGAGCACAGCCCTCTCACGACTGCCCGAATCTCAGGCCTTCCACAGACACGCCAGGAAAACGCACCTCAACTAGCATGGAGGCGACCGCGAAATGGCTCCTTCCCCGGCGAGGAGGGGCGTGGTTATTGTACTTACGCATGCGCAGAAGGTGATCCTGGGGGGGAGGGGACGCCTCAAACGTGGGGGCGGGCCTGCTGCAACCTGACTGCGCATGCACGTTGTCGCCCGGGAGATAGTCTGCGCATGGCCTGCGGCGGCCTTATGCAGCTTCTTCCTTTAAGGCGCTGCCGGCGTTTGGATAGTATAGGGTGCAAAAGAGTTGAGCATTTTGTTGCAGCAAAATGTTTTTCAGTTTGTGTCTTAGGAATATGTTGAGAAGAGGCTCCCTTCTTAAACTGATCTTTTCAAAGCTTTTCACTTAGTGCTAATTTCATAGGGTTGTTGTGATGATTAAGTCAGAAGAAAGGCCCAATTCCGTACCTGGCACATAATGGTGGTTGGTGGTTAAGTGCCAGGGAATCGGTATGGACTCATCAGTAAATTATAAGGAAAGTTATTGTTAGTTATTCAGATTCTCTAAACGTTAACATCTGAAAAGGAAATAAGCTCAGTGAAGACAGCAACCCAAACTATTGAATAAAACCAGAAAGCCTATGCTTCTTAAACTGAATACCTTTTTGTCTTCACAGTGTTTGGAATAATTTATATCCTGCTGTAGAGCATAAAACTTAAGGCTTTTTGCTTGTGAATAACTCCATCCTGGTGGTGGTGATAGTAGTTGTGTAACATGGAGTCAGTTTCGACCCGTTGTTGTTGTCTTTGCGTTGGTTCTGATCCATTTGTTGTTATTGTGCGCCAAGGAGCTATGATTTTTTATTTGATTGTGAAGTGCCGTTGAGTCGATTCCGACCCATAGCGACCCTGTACAGGGTTTCCAAGGGTGTAAATCTTTACGGGAGTAGAAAGCCTCATCTTTCTCCCGCGGAGCGGCTGGTAGTTTCGAACTGCTGACCTTAAGGTTCGCAGCCCGATTCGTAACCACTACGCTACCTGTATACGCTTTCCCAGGCTGTAAATCTCACAGGCTCTGAAAGGTGGTGGACTCTAACTGCTGGCCTTGTGTTTAGCAGCCCAATACACTACACCACTAGAACTCCAGTCTGTTTTTAGTGCCATCCAATCTGTTCCGACTCATAGCGACCCCCTATAGTTTCTAAGGAGTGAGTAGTGAGTTGGAACTGCCAACCTTGCAGTTCAAACCTATTCCGTCTTGTGCTTAGGTTTAAGT